GGCACTAATCAACAAGAAGTTCCCAGAAGACATCACAGCTGTTTCACCATTGCCTCACCACCAGCTACGTTCAGTGGGACAATTAATTCTATGAACAGAAAGATGGAGTAGCTATGGGGAGCCCTCTCAGCCCGGTCATAGCTAATTTCTACATGGAACACTTTGAAAAACAAGCCCTGGAAACAGCAACAAAAAACCCCACGACTTGGTTCAGATATGTGGATGACACCTTCACCATTTGGAGCCATGGAGAAGAAGAACTCAACAGGTTCCTGGACCATCTCAACAGCATCCACCCAAACATCCAGTTCACGATGGAAAAAGAAAATGAAGGAAGACTGCCTTTTCTAGATGTCCTAGTCATCCGTAAACCAGATCAACAATTGGGTCACACCGTTTACAGAAAACCCACACACACAGATAGATATCTACATAAAAACTCCAAACATCACCCAAGTCAAAAAAGAAGCACCATTAAAGCCTTGGCAGACCGTGCAAAAAGAATCTGTGAACCCCACCTCCTCCAAGATGAACTGAACCACCTCAACTGGGCTCTCCAGGCCAATGGATACTCCACCTCAGACATCAGAAGAGCTGCAAGCCACGAGAGTAAAGATGAAGATCCACCCAAAGGAAAAGTGTCCTTGCCATACATCAAGGGAACCACTGACCGCTTAGGGAAGAAACACAACATACAAACTATCTCCAGACCCACCAAGAAAATCCAACAAATGCTACGTTCAGCAAAGGACAAGAGGGATCTTCTCACTTCTGCAGGAGTCTACCGTATACCATGCAGCTGTGGACAAGTCTACACAGGGACCACCAAACGCAGCGCCCAGACACGCATCAAGGAACATGAAAGGCACTGCAAACTACTCCAACCAGAGAAGTCAGTCATAGCAGAGCACCTGATGAACCAGCCTGGACACAGCATATTATTTGAGAACACAGAAGTGCTGGACCACTCTCACAACCACCATGTCAGACTACACAGAGAAGCCATTGAAATCCACAAGTATATGGACAATTTCAACAGAAAGGAAGAAACCATGAAAATGAACAAAATCTGGCTACCGGTATTAAAAAACTCTAAAATTAGCAAAACAACACAGAGGAAACAAACAAGGACACCTCTCAACAAAATATTGCCCCAGGCTCTGCCAGGCCATCAAATGCTAATCAAGGTGGTCAGTTGAAACATTCAAACCACTGGTTCTCAACCTGGGATTCCCAGATTTATTTTGGCCTTCAACTCCCAGGAATCCTAACAGCTGGTAAACTGGCTGGGATTTCTGGGAGTTGTAGGCCAAAAATATCTGGGGACCCCAGGTTGAGAACTACTGCCTTAAACTCTCGGCTAGGGTGATTCTTATTAACTCCACTAATAAATGGTTTGGAAATTATCCTAAAGTACTTTGTGTATTGGAATAATATTTTGGACATGTTACAACCTTGTCTCAGAAACAGGTGTTATACTACCCAAAGCAATATCTGTAACATTGATCTTGTTTGGTGGATGAAACCTGAGTTAGCACTAGCAACCTTTGATACACGTGGAACAGCTATTGTGAGGCTGCTTATAAATCCTAAGTGTCTCCTATCAGTTTCATCGATTACTGAATGGTTCAGTAAAAATATCCACCATAGGTTTAATTTATAATTGTTGCTCTTAAGCATGAGCACCACTGATTCGCTGCTATGCTACCTGAGCTGGATTTGTTTGGGATGAAAACAGAACATAAACAATATTTTTGTGTAATGTTTGTTTTATTTACACAGGTAGAACATACATAGAACATAGAGGTATATCAGCTTTTCAAGGCTTATGAGCATTTCATGGAAACACAGGATCCCAACTACTTATTTATAAATAATAATATTAATAATAACAACAACAACAAAAACAATAAGAAGAATAATACATTTTATTTATTACCTGCCTCTCTTGATGACTCCACTTTATATTCCACTTTTTTCTATGGGATCTGACATATTGTATAACATTATAAAAGCAGAATACAAGTAATATCTATTTATTTAAAAAGTTACATTACTGTTTAAAAAACACAAGTTTAAAATAGCATCAAAAGATGCTTAAGAGACAATAAAATAAAAAGACAACACCCCCCCCCCCCACCTTAAAAAGCTCTGTCTGCCACAGCATTCGAAAATCAAATGCTTCATGAAATAAAGTGGTCTTTATCTGCTGGTGAAAAGACAGCAGGGAGCTGGCTGACCAAATCTCTCAGGGAAAGTAGTTTCATATCTTGGGAGCCACCACGGAGAAGGCTCTTTCCCATCTCCATTCCTAGCGTGCCCGAGATGATGGGACCAAGAGAAAGCAGATCTCAGAAACTTGGCAGCTTGTAGGTAGATACGGTTTTTCAAACAGCCAGGACCCAAGCCTGTCTCTTTACCAAATTATCTCTTCACCATTGTCTTTCTTTCACAAAGTTCTTTCCCATCTTTGAACCCTAACATCCTCAGAGCAAGTAACAATGGCAATAGGAGACAAACACACTACATCACAAATATAATAAATAACACAGTTCACATATTGTAAACTTTGGACAGTATCGCTAGTTTTAAAAGGTATTTGTTTTGCATATTTTCTGTTCACAGGGAAATTATTGGATGTACCTCAACCAGACTCCATTGTATGTTGAGAAAACACACCAACTACCATGAACTGCTAATTGACTAAGCCAAATTAGAAGGGAAAAAATAGACTGCAGAAGAATACAGGAGATATTTTTAATTCAGACACTTGAGAAAAGAAAGTACGTATACATCAAATTGTTAAGTCAGCATAGGATAGAAGAGTTAAAAGGTGAAGATGCAGACAAGAATGGATAATGGATTGTGATGTTTCTTCCCACCAAAATTCATGTCTCTAAATACACTTTGTTTCTGCTCCCAGTGTTTTGTTTCTAAAATCATACATGTCTTCCTTCATGTCAAACTCTGCCATAATGAACTAATACATTCTTTCTGTCATGATGACAGACCCCAAGCTATTCATGAGCATGTTTTGCTTGGTTCCCAAAAGTGGTTGGTTATCATTATTGTTATTTTCTTGCAATAGGTAATTTCTAAGATCTTTGGATCAAACATAAGTTTGTAGTGTGAAGGAAAGATGCTATTCTGAGGCAAAAAACACACAATTGTGTTTTACTTTGTATTGTGAAAAGGTGGAGAATATAAAAAGTATCCAAGGAGTCCTCAGATCTACACATTGTCTTGAGTAACAGACTGAAGAAAAAAATACAAATGTGGAAAGGATGAGATCAAACCAAGACAATATTGTGAAACTGATAACAGTAGCTCATGCCTGGCATCACGTTTACAATTTATACTACTACACCGCAAAACTTGAGTTTTCCAACACACAGGTCATCAAAATTGATATATTTTCCATCTGCCTTGGACTCCCTTTGATACCTTCCAGTGTCCACACTCTGGAGATGGTGGTCGTTACTATGGTCACTGAAATCAACCATCACAGTGAACCAAGGACAACACAAAAATGAACAATATGTTTAAAAAACAGACAATTGTTTGAAAACCCACTTCAAGGTTTCTGAATGCAAATCATGGCTTGTAAGTTCTGACATGTCAGCCTATAGCTAAGCTTCTAAGCAGATACTCCTTGTGCCTGCGTAGAAAGAAATTGGAGAATGGAACATGAACAGAGATGGGTGGCCATCATATAAAATCTAGTATACGAGGGTTGAATGAAAAGTAATACCTCCACCTTCGTAACTCCTCAACAGATGGCAGTACTGGTATGCAGCAGGTACTGGCTTGTTCAGTAGACTCTCCTCTACAGTTCCATTTTGGCAGAAATCCTTAGCATTGAACAGTTGTGTTGTTAAAGTGCAAAGTATGGAACCCTGCGCAGACAGTTGGTCAATGTGACTTAAGCAATGTGCAGTCATTGAATTCCTGACAGCAGAAGGTGTCACCCCAAAGGAGATTCATCAGAGAATGCAAGCTGTTTATGGTGATTGTGTTGATGTGAGTAGTGTGTGGCATTGGGTGAGTAAGTTTAAAGATGTTGAGGTGAGAACATCTGACTTGCGTGACAGACAAAGAGTTGGATGTCTTGTGACAGCAACCGAGTTTCACAAGCAAAAGGTTGACAGATTGATTCAGGATGGTCGTTGTATCAATCAGAGAGAAATTTCAAGCATAATCAGCATTTCACAAGAACATGTGGGTCATATTATTGCTTTGCTTGCCTATCGGAATATCTGTGCACGATGAGTTGCGGAAACAGAGTGTCGACTTCTTCCATGACGGTTTCAGAAAACTTGTTCATTGTTGGCAGAAATGTATCCAATTCACTACCTCTAAGGATGCTTGCCATAGATGCAGGTGAAACATCAAGAGAGAATGCCTCTAGAACATGGCCATATAGCCCGAAAAAACCTACAACAACCCAAATGTATCCAATTGTCTGGAGATTATGTGGAAAAGTGAATAGTGGTAGTTAAAGAGCACATTCTAAGCATTATTTATGCATTTGATTTATTAAAATATTCTCATCCAAAAGCAAGTAACGAAGGTGGAGGCATTAGTTTTCAATCAACCCTCGTAAATAGAATGAAGGAACCGGCAGAAAAGCTATAGTCTCAGCGGGAAAATCTGACAGCACAAATATGGTGAGAAATATTACTTATACAATCATGATGTTTTATTAGGAAGCTGAGCTATAGTGAGTTGACAGAGAACCCATTTTGTGTCTCTGCCCTGAAGAAAGTGGTGATTCTATTGAAGAGGTGGTAAAGTCACTACATCTCATTCAACCAGGTTATCGTGTGAATATAAGGACATGAAGGATACAAATCTTAGAATTTTATTCACTCTTTAGTGATCTGTTCACAGTGCACACTTATAAAGAACCCTGCCTTGAGTACCAGTGGACATAACAGACACGCAAATAGAGAAAGAATGTACGTCACTGATCACTGTTTTAGATTCTGCGTCCGAAATCCATGTTTGGGTTAAAATTCTCATATCAGCTTTGTCACCTTCTTGATCCAAGGTACGAATTTGCTGACTTTTGTGTAAACGCCAGGGGAATCTTTTCGCCCACATCCATACCCCCAGGAAGTGATCCCTAGAATTACCCAGTGTCCGTTTGACCTTTGACACATCAGCGGTCCCCCGCTGTCTCCCTGACAACTGTCCACACGGTTTCCTTCAGAGAGGTTTCCAGCACAAAGCATTCGATTGCTAAATTTCTTCCCATAGCGGGACTTGCACACTTCTCTTGGGAGAAGGGGTACTGAGCCCTGGAGTAATGTCCTTGAATATGATCTCCCTGAAACAGGAACAAATGACAAGTAGTGTAGCTCAGTACACAGAAAAACAGCAATTTAAGCAAAAGAAGTCTACAAACTTAAAATGTAGGGTTTTTTTATTTTTAAGGCATCAAAGCTTCTACTTTCCCATGATGAAGGAATTTTTACTCTGCCCTCATTATCAGGCAAGAGCCCTGAAATACGACAATATTTCTAGGAGAATTCCTTCCCATTGAGGGTACGCAAACCCATCTACTCTTAGTTATTGAGTACTGATATTTTTAAACACTCAAATTGTTGGGATGTTTACGAGTACCTGAATCAGATGTGAAGGAAGGTTTATTTCAATCAACTGCCAGATCTTCTAACCCACTGTTTCTCAACCTTCCTAATGCCGTAACCGCTTAATACAGTTCCTCATTTTGTGGTGACCACCAGCTATAACATTATTTTCGTTGTTACTTCATAATTATAATTCTGCTACTGTTATGAATCGTAATGTAAATATCTGATATGTAGGATGTATTTTCATTCACCGGACCAAATGTGGCACAAATACCCTATACACCTAAATTTGAATACTGGTGGGGTTGGAGGGGATGGATTTTGTGATTTGGGAGTTGTAGTTAATGGGATTTATAGTTCACCTATAATCAAAGAGTGTGTTTTGGTTTTACCTTATTGTAATATGCTGTTGGGCTTGGCCTCATGTAAGCCGTCCCGAGTCCCCATTGGGGAGATGGTGGCGGGGTATTAAATAAAGATTATTATTATTATTATTATTATTATTATTATTATTATTATTACTCAGAACCCCACCAACGATGGAATTGAACCAAATTTGGCACACAGAATTTCCATGACCAACAGAAAATACTGGAAGGGTCTGGTGGGCATTGACCTTGAATTTGGGAGTTGTAGTTCGTCTACATCCAGAGCACACTGTGGACTCAAACAATGATGGATCTGGACCAAATGGCATGAATACTCAATATGCCCAAAAGTGAACACTGGTGGAGTTTGGGGAAAAGACACTTRACATTTGGGAGTTGTCGTTGTTGGGATTTATATCACCTACAATCAAAGAGCATTCTGGACCCCACCAACAATGAATTGGGCCAAATTTCCCACACAGAACCCCCATGACCAACAGAAAATATTGTGTTTTCTGATGGTCTTTGGTGACCCCTCTGACACCCTCTCRTGACCCCCCCTCCCAGGGTCTCAACCCCCAGGTTGAGAAACACTGTTCTAACCAATAGCTGTCACAGTTTCAAACAGTAAAGCTTTTTTTCTTTTGAATTAAAATTCAAAAGAACTGCTCCTTCTACAAATGAACTAATGTTATATTTAAATGTGTTATGGAATTTTAATATCTTAATGGTTATAGTAAGAGCCCTACAAAGCTAGATTTACCAAATGTGAAAAACACCCAGTGTTTATTGCTTCCACCCACGTGAGAAATCATGGCACAATCCACATTTACCTGTGTCTCCCCAGCCAGATATGAAGCATGCCTGCCTGTCTATAGCAGACTTCTCCTTCCTGCTGGGCAGGCAGACAGGACGGACGTGGTGACTGAAGGAAAGACACTTCTCCTCTTTGCCCTGAATTCTGACAAGGGCAATATCATTGTCATTGCTGCTGGACTGGTAATTCCTATGAAGGACAATCTTCTCCACAGGCAACTCTCTCTCAAATTCATCTCTCATACCAGTATGGTAGTCTCCCACACGAAGAAGGTAGCGCCGCACATCTACACCAAACCTGGCCATGAGAGAGCAATCAACTGGTTATTTCACACCAGAGACACTGAATTTCAGTCCAGTTACTTTCCTCCCTCTTTAATCCATGCTGAGATTAAAGGCTCTTCCAGACAGGCCCTATATCCCAGGATCTGATCCCAGGTTTTCCACTTTAAATTGGATTATATGAGTCCACACTGCCAGATAATCAGGGATAAAAAGAAAACCTGGGATCAGATCTTGGGATATAGGGCCTGTCTGAAAGGGCTCTTAGAGTGTAGAGCTAAGTTGGAAACTGTCATTTCCTAATCCAAAGTAGTACATAAACTACTTGCACTGTGTAAACAAAGAGAATTGCCATCTCTGTCGCTTTGTATTTACAAAACACGCATTTAAAGTAGACATTTTAGGTGAGTGCAATACCCTCTTCAGGCACTAGATCGAGAGAGTTCCTTTTCAGTCAAAGGACAGCAAATGACAACCATCCCTCACTTAATGGCACTTTAAGCTACTCTCACATATAGATACAGTATATTCTGGCGTATAAGACTACTTTTTAACCCAAGAAAATCTTCTCAAAAGTCAGGGGTCGTCTTATACGTGGGTGTAGTTTTATGCATGGGAGTCGTCTTAACTCTATATTTTAACTGGAAAAGTTGGGGGTCGTCTTATACGCCTAGTCGTCTTATATGCCGGAATATACGGTAGTTACCTTTTGAAGCAATGAGCTGCAGTCACCACCCAGCAGTTGCTGATAAGTGTTGCTCCACAAAGCAAACGTGCATCTCTGTGAAATCCCTTTAGACGTAATGAGACCTGCCATGGCCAGCCTCCTCTGAAAGAGAAAATAAGAAATGATGCGGGTGGTGCAATGGGTTAAACCCTTGTGCTGCTGAACTGCTAACGTGAAGGTTGGTAGTTCGAATCTGTGGGATGGGGTGAGCTCTCGCTAAGAGCCCTAGCTCCTGCCAACCTAGCAGTTCAAAATCATGCAAAAGTGAGTAGATCAATAGGTATCGCTTTGGCGGGAAAAGGCAAAAAGCGTGGTCATGCTGGCCACACAACCAGGAGGTGTCTATGGACAACGCAGCCTCTTTGACTTGGAAATGGAGAAGAGAAGAGCACATCTCTCAGAGCCGAAGATAAGCACCGCCTCCAGAACCGGAAATTAAAGGAGAAGTCTTTGCCTTTGTCTGTTGCACTCCAGACCAGGAAAAGCCCTCTGACTTTAAATACCACGCAGTTGGGTAAAAAAACAATCCTTTTATTGAAGATAATTAAAAAAGCAGTAAAGTAAAAAGCACTTTAAAGAAATAGGTAAATCCAATTAGGTAGGAAGATAAGCCAGAACAAAGTAGTCCAGGGTAATAGTCCATCAAAGTCCATGAAAAACAAAGACAAAAACTTCTCAAATAAAATCCAAGAAACCAGGACACATGAATCTAAGGCATTAATATAAAACCATAGAATCCAAGAATCAAAACCATGAAACAAAGGCACTTAAGCACGAATCTTTCCAAGCAAAGCTTCCAAGAAACAAGGATGAGAACTTGACTTGATTCCAAATGATGCTTCATCTGACTTCATATCCTGCACTTGGGACTTTTATCTCCTCGTTAAGGTATGTCCTAAGCACTCAGAAATTAGTTTCGTTTTAGCTTTGAGTCCCTTATCTTTCTCTCTCTGAGCCTGGCAGAATACTAAAGCCATTGTTCGGCTCTTCTGTTTTGACTAATCTCCTCCCATCTATCAATTTGCTCATTAATTTCTGCAGCTGAGCCAGATGCTGAGCCATTTTCAAGCTCCAAACCATGGGAATTCTCAGGTAGCAATTCAGGGAGCACACCACCATCCCTACACCCTTTAGGGACATTCTCATGAGAAACTACACTTTGAACAGGGATCTCCTGGTCATTCTCTGCATCAATATCATTGACCAGACCATTGCCATCTTGAAACTCATTGTCATCACTCCCCACATTTAAAGCACCCTGACCATTAAACACAATCACGACTGAGCTCCAACATTGCCTATGTATTTGTGTAATTGTATTTCATTGTAACAAGGCATTAAGTTTGCTCTTGTCTGTTTATATGCTGAAATCAGTTCTGGGTCCCCTCAGGGAGAAGGGGAGAATATAAATAAAGGGTTATTATTATTATTATTATTATTATTATTATTATTATTATTATTATTGAGGCAGACAGAATGGGAACCCTACCTTATGAAGGGTCACTACTAGATCCTGCCTCACCTTTTGCTACTTGACACGTTGTAAAAATAGATTAGAATAACATAAATTACATCAGTGCAAGTATCCAGATTCTTCAGTGCTGCTAGTTATCCTTGAAATCAACTCTTCAGTGCTAGATGCTGCACAGATATGAATAGCATACGTTGACAATAAGGAATTTACTTCTGAAAATCATTAGAAATAGGGAGAAGGAAGCCATGTTTCTTTGCTGTGAAATGGTATATAGTGCAGGCCCATCAAATTTTCATTCAGCCCATCAATGCTTCCTGACAGTATGAATATCTTGGTTTCTTTTTCCAGCGTGAACACAGATTTGGTCATGCATTTCTTCCCCACTTAATAATTCAGCAAAAGTTTCAAGGTGCCTTATGATGTCTATTCCTAAGACGTCTTTGAAGTTTGTCACATATAATAAAAAATGTCACCCTTGTGTAACTGTGACAAGGAAGTCTCTGTCCAAGATGGGTCACATTACAATTGCTTTCTGTACTTGAGCAAAAAGAGACAGACCCGACTACACCTTAGGCTAGGGGTCCTCAAACTAAGGCCCAAGGGCCAGATACAGACCTCCAAGGTCATTTACCCGGCCCTTACTCAGGGTCAACCAAAGTCTGAAATCAGGCCCGTAGCCAGGATTTCGAGGGGGGGGGGGGGTTTTTTTCAGGGGGGTTGGGGGGGGCGGAGTATCGGGGGGGGGGGGGCTGAGTCTGAGTGAAAGAGGGTCTACCTAGCAAACCTTTTGTATCATTACCCCAATACCCCCATGCATATGGGATATATTGAGTATGGTGATCAGATCATGATATGAATAAACATAACAGTTTAAATAATGCACCAGTTAAGGCCTTTTCGCGAACCACCATGAGAATTTCGGGGGGGGGGGGAGCTGAAGCCCCTCAAGCCCCCTCCCCCCGGCTACATGCCTGTCTGAAATGACTTGAAAGCTCACAACAACAACAACAACAACAATCCTATCTCATCAGCCAAAAGCAGGCCCACACTTCCCATTGAAATACTAATAAGCTTATATTTGTTACTATTGTTCTTCATTTTAATTATTATTTTGTTTTTAAGTGGGGTTTTTTTCACTACAAATAAGTTATGTACAGTGTACATAGGAATTGATTGATTGCATGCTGCAAGTTTTGTTTAACTTTGTTAGTGTTTTTAAATGCATTTTAACTGTACCCTCAACTCACTTCTGGCACGATAAACAAATAATTGTGCGAGCTGAAGTCCAAAACATCTTGAGGAGCACAGTTTGAGAAACATTGCCTTAAAGAAATAGATTTTTAAATACACCTGCTTTATTATATACTCAGCAAGCGAGAGTCCAAAAGTGGCAGGCTCAAACCCAGAACCTCAACCAATGGCTGATACCAAATGAGAGACTCTCCCCTGGGCACACAGAGGACTGGGCGACTTGGAAGGTGCTGAACAGACTGCGCTTTGGCACCACAAGATGCAGAGCCAACCTTCAGAAATGGGGCTACAAAGTGGAATCCTCGACATGCGAGTGTGGAGGAGAGCAAACCACTGACCACCTGCTGCAATGCAACCTGAACCCTGCCACATGCTCAATGGAGGACCTTCTTGCAGCAACACCAGAAGCACTCCAAGTGGCCAGATACTGGTCATAGGACATCTAATCAACTACCAAATTCACAAATTTTGTATTTTGTCTGTTTGTTTGCTTTGTTTTGTCAGAAATGTAATATAATTGTCTGGTTGCCCTGACACAATAAATAAATATACTGCAAGATATCATTGTATGTATATTTTCCAAATTATTTGGATGTATTTTTAGTAATTTAATTTTTCCAATTTTTACACTGATAGCTGTTTAGGTTAGACAGATGTGTTTGAAAAGGTGTTTGGGTGAGTAGAGGGATGGTTGGTCTAGGGCAATTTTCAAGTGTTCTTTATGGTCCTCACTTGGTTTGGAGGGAGTGCAATCCTATTTAAAACCAATTGAACTCTACCTCAACCTATAGTAATAAGTATTTTGCCTGGGAGCCAGAAGATCCACTGCCAGTCAGTGCTGACAATACAAGGATACATGGACCACTTCACTGGCCCCTTCTATACTATATAATCCAGATTATCTGATTTGATAATGGATTACATGGTAGTGAAGACACATATAATATCTGGGCTGTGGTGGACAGGCTGTGGCGCAGTTAGCTGAGAGCTAGCTGCATTAAATCACTACTGATCGAGAGATCATGAGTTCGAAGCCAGCCCGGGTCAGAGTGAGCTTCCGGCCAGTTGTCTAGCTTGCTGTCAACCTGTGCAACCCAAAAGACAGCTGAATCTGTCAAGTAGGAAATTTAGGTACCGCTTTATGCAGGAAGGCTAATTTAACTAATTTACGACACCATAAAAACTTCCAGGTGCGTGCAGAAGAATGAGGAAGTACTCCATCGAAGGACTCGGTGTCACAATGGATGGTAAAGTGGCAGCTCCCCCTGTGGCCAGAATAGAGCCAGAATCCAGCATAACCTCATGAAGCCAGGCACAGCTGGAATGTTAAATTGCCTCGGCATCTGTCTATATATGCTGTATGTCTAACTGGCACTGAATGTTTGCCATGTATATGTGCATTGTAATCTGCCCTGAGTCCCCTGCGGAGTGAGAAGGGCAGAATATAAGTACAGTAAATAAATAATAAATAAATATAATCCAGCTCAAAGCAGATAATCTGGGATCAGATCCTGGGATATAGGGCAGTGTAAAAGGAGCCACTGACTCAGTATAAGGCAGCTCTTATGTATCCACTTCTGCACAACTCTTTAAATTTATATTTCTTATGATGCTGTTGTAACTGCAGTTATGAGCAAGCGCTGAACTCCGATTGAGTTCTACTCAATTAACAGTATCTTCACTGGCACTTTGTAAAATATATCTTTAATTTGCTCATGCATTACACAATTACGAGGAAGCTGACCTTTTGACATACTCATTATGCATGGTTAGAGGAGATTAGAAATAATCGCCGGTAACCTTTTTGAATCAGTGTTAATTCTTAGTTTAGGATAATCAGGCAAACCACAGGAGAAATTGAGAGGTTAAATACATCACAATGAATTCTTTTCCATCATGCTAGAATGACAAGGAGCAGTCTTCCACCATCCAAGCACACAGTTCCATCTAACACAGTGTTGTCATCACCAGCTGATAGCAGCTCCCAGGGTACAAAGCAGAAATCCTTCCACCCTTATTACATCTCCTGCCATTTTTAGTGGAGATGCCAAGGACTCAACCCTAGGATCTTCCACATGAAACACATGGGCCTCTCTGCTGGGTGGCAGAAAACTAACTATGGCTGAATCTAGGAACTCTGTTTACCCCAGATTATCTGGCAATGTAGACTCATATAATCCAGTTCAAAGCAAATAATCTGAGGTCAGATCCTGGGATATTGGATAGTGTAGAAGGGGCCTATGATTACTTTGGAGTACTTAATAAACTAGGAAACATTCCTCAATACGTTATACATCATCCGTGCCCAAAAATAGAACCAGCTCTATTAGTACAGGAAGATGAATGGAGAATAGCAATGGGCATGTTCATATCTAGAACCAGGTAAATCCAAATGGCCTCTTTCTCAGGCCCCTTCCACACTGCCCTTATATCCCATGATCTGATCCCAGATTATCTGATTATGCCAGATTAACTGGCAGTGGAGACTCATATAATCCAATTTAAAGTAGATAATCTGGGATCAGATCCTGGGATATAGGGCAGTGTAGAAGGGGGCTCAGAGTTGTGCCTCTGCCTCTCCAGGAATATCCAGAACGGGCATTTTTTTTTGTTTCTGCTATTCTGCTTATTCAGGAGAATAAGCATGTTAGCACTTCACACAGCCCAGAATTTCATATTCACCGTATAGACTTAAAGTGGCTTTATAACTGCTTTCCACCATCCAATAAAGAATGGTTTGCCACAACATTTCCTATCTTGTTAGCTCCATGCAGTCATGCCAGCCACATGACCTTGGAGGTGTCTACGGATAATGCCGGCTCTTCGGCTTAGAAATGGAGATGAGCACCAACCCCCAGAGTTGGATACGACTGGACTTAATGTCAGGGGGAAATCTTTACCTTTACCTTAGTTTCCCTCAGTTTCTAATTAATTTTAAATTAATTTGCCAGTGGTCTATATGAGCTATTTAGTAAAGTATAAGTAAACTAAGTAACCTCTCTTGAATCAACAGATTTTTGATTGAATTCTAGTTTGATTTGGCATATTTGAAGACAATATAATAATTCTAGATCTCATTTTGCAATTATGTTGCTGTTGTGTGGCTTTGAGTCATTTCTGACTAATGGCGGCCCTAAGCAAACCTATCACTGGGTTTTCTGGGGCTGAAAGTATGAATTTCAACCAAGGTCTCCCAATGGTTTGCATTGAATTGAACCCTCGTCTCCAAAGCCACAACATCATGCTGGCTTTCTCCCATTTAGCATACTGTCATGATATTTGTTTCATACATCTTCTGATCAAGTTCAGTTACACAAGACTACTCATAAACCAACTATGAGAGACTTCTACATAAACAGAGGACAGTAAAGACCACTCTGCTTCTCTACCATGCAGGCAATGTCAATGCAAGGCAGCAAGAAAATCCCTAGCCTGCTTTCTGGAAGGGGCAGCAAAGCAATCTCTCGCAACCTTTGGTATTCAAGATGAAAGGCATAATTCCCAAGGTTTAGAGGAAGCACCTTTGAGAAGATAGAGTGGGGTAATAATAATAATAATAATAATAATAATAATAATAATAATCCTGCAAAGGTAGTGGAAAATAAACACACAAAAATATTGTGGGACTTTTGAATCCAGACTGACAAAGTTTTGGAACACAATACACCAGACATTACAATTGTGGAAAATAAAAAAAGTTTTGGATTATTGATGTCACCATATCAGGTGACAGCCGAAGTGATGAAAAACAACAGGAAAAACTCAGCCGTTATCAAGACCTCAAAACTGAACTGCAAAGACTCTGACATAAACCAGTACAGTTGGTCACAGTGGTCATCGGCACACTGGGTACCGTGCTAAAAGATCTCAGCTGGCATTTGGAAACAATAAACATTGACAAAATCACAATCTGTCAACTGCAAAAGGCCACTTTGTTTGGATCTGCGCGCATCATTTGAAAATACAACACACAGTCCTAGACGCTTGAGTGTTTGACTTGTGATTTTGTGATATGAAATCCAGAATATAGTGCTCGTTTGCTGTGACATACTGTGTTTTTGTGTCAGTAAAGTAATAATAATAATAATAATAATAATAATAATAAAGCATGTTCTTTCTCCTAACACTCAAGGCATTCATATATTCAAAACCATTCTTCTTATGTTTATACTGCTGCTATATGGAGAAAAATGCATAGGAGCACAGCAAAGACTGGTGGCTTTCAGGGGGTTTATCCGTTTTCACATTCTTCTCAATAACAAATTTTCTCATGTCCAACGGATGTAAATGATGGGGGCAGGGGGAGCTGCTGTCTCGAAAAAAAGTGTGTGACAAACCAAAGTTACAACTGCTCTGCTGTCTAGAGCAACTAGAGGCAAGCGTAATACCTGAAAGATTTGATTCCACCAATTATCCTTTTATTGCGGTGGTGAATTGAGCGCAGTCCACATATTTCAAGCATTGAACCTGTCAAAAAAACAAAACAAAATCCAAAACAATTAAAAACACACCCTCACACAATTAAAGCCCTTCAACACTACTTTCTAGGATCAAAAAACATGTTTACATTATTTTTTCCCTTAACTAGCAATTTTGAGGAGCCCCTGATGGCGCAGTGGGTTAAACCGCTGAGCTGCCAAACTTGTTGACCAAAAGGTTGCAGGTTCGAATCCGGGGAGCAACTTGTGCTTCCACTGGCAGCCCCAGCTTCTGTCAACCTAGCAGTTCAAAAACATACAAATGTGAGTAGATCAATAGGTACCACTCCGGCGGGAAGGTAACGGTGCTCCATGCAGTCATGCTGGCCACATGACCTTGGAGGTGTCTATGGACAACACTGGCTTAGAAATGGAGATGAGCACCAACCTGCAGAGTTGGGCATGACTGGACTTAATGTCAAGGGAAAACCTTTACCTAGCAATTTTGAAATTGAAACAAGAAAACTAATTTAAAAAATCAGTCTTGTCTTTGAAATAGTAATTGTTGGTTCAAATTGTTATGTCCTTATTTTTTAAGTGTAGGGGAAAAATAGTTTTCAAACCATTGTACAGACAATTGGTCCATCCAGCCCAGAGTTGTTTATCCTTATTGCTGGCTATGGTCCTTCACAATGTAAGGCAGAGATCCTTTTTTAACCGGACATACCAAGACCTGAACTTGGTACCTTCTGCTCTGAATGAATTCTGAGAAGTATATTTTCCAGCTCTGGTGGGTGTATTTGTTCATACATGCCTATTATTACAGATTCTATAATGCTTCTCTTTGAAAGTGGTGATAACATTGGGAATGGTAGCTACCCAGCTTTCACCACCACAACCATTAAAATAAAGAAAATAAAAGAGAAAACCTTTAACTGTACTGGCAACAAAATGCAGCCTATGCTTACCTTTTCCTCTAAAAAAGCTTAACTCTAATTATTACACAGTTAAGACAGGTTTTTAAGTGCATTGGCACTTCATAATTATCAAAAACAAAATAAGTTCCGCAAAGTATTTCAACATGCAGAATCTGGGAAATCACATAAATTTAATTAACTTGCATTTTGTTTTATTAAAAAACCAGGTAAAACCAAATAGATACAGCCTTATTAAAACCACATAAACAGTCACTATTAGTTAAAAGCATCCCCAGCACTGTCAACTGCAATATTATAGTTTCAAAAGGAAATCAGTGAGTGTTGGACTCCCATTGCCTCCATGTCTGGGCATAAGCTTAGCACAGAGAGTAAAAAAAACATTGACTCAAGTGGTAGACTTTCCTACACTTATTTATGGTATAAAAGTGGTGTAAAGGACAGGGTCTGGATCAGAGCCAAGCGGCATTTTGGGTGGATTCAGTTTGTTTATGGTTTATTTGCTTTCACAATTTAATGCAATACAGTTATCTTGCCAAATGTTTCCCGGAAAGATCCCAGCTCTATTTGCCTTCCAATGTGTCATTTTCAGCACTGCAGTGTGAACGTGCTTTTTGTCCAGTGAAAGTTAAGTGTCTCCGGAAATAAACACTGTGCTACATTCCTCACATATCCCACATTAGAAAAGCCAGGTGCAAAATACCTGAATTTCTTGCCAGGTGGGTTTCCTTTGCCACATAGTCACAGATCACTCCAGCGTTGTTGCTGTGCCAGCAGTTGTGAATGCCATTTTCACGGAAGATGCATTCCCCCAAGGCATGCTCTGTGCCACTGCATCCCACACTGTCTAGATGGATAGGCACATGCTCTTTACCCAAATAAGCCATGGTTTTGGCTTTTGCCACTCCACTGCAGAGAGAACAAGTTGATTTTTTAAAAAATCTCTTATTTTGTGTCAAAAGCATTGCATAAAAAAGTATAAAACTGATAAAAATTGAGGAAGCACAAGTGGTTAATAATTTTTGACCAAAAATGGGCAATAGCGATCGCATTGTCTGTATCTTTAAAATAATTCTTCCTCTGTGCGTGAGGCAGGGCATTGTGGGCAAGCATACAGATGTGGAGTCATTTGTTCTGCTCCACAGTCGCACAAGGGGGAAGATTCTTCTAGGTAGGCCATTTGGCCAACCTTTTGATCTGCCCACTCCACTTCTGAATCTGTTCAGGGACTTCCAAGTTGCCCATTCTTGTACTCAGGAAGAGCTTTCTACATATGCACCTCCAGGGCTGTAGCCAGAAAAAAAATTCGGGGGGGGGGTGTGTGTGTGAAAATTCGGGGGGGGGGGGGGTGAAACCTGCCTCCTAGCTCACGCTGAAGCAAAGAGCACAGCAGGGGGCAGAGCAGCCTTCAATAGCCTGCAGCTCCGCCCCTGTCAACCACCTCCACCAAGTCTGGCCTCCTTAATGAGAGCATTCAACCCCCCCCCCCAACTTGGTTGCTTCACTACATCGGCTATTGCTGCAAGTAAAGACAGTGTGAATAAATTGTCAATATTTGCTTGAGATAGTGCTTGCAGTTCTGGAGTGACTCTTAATTTTTTGCGTCTCATTGGCTTAGCATGGGGATTTGGTTAACCTGTTAAAATTCATGAGTAAACCAGGTATTTTTTTTAATCTGAAAAATTTCGGGGGGGGGTTGAACCCCTAAACCCCCTCTCCTGGCTACAGGCCTCTACACCTCCCCAACAGGCCAAATCTAGGCCATAATATACCACTTGTGGAAGGCACAGCACACAGCATCTAAACTCCAGCAAACAATCCCTTGGAGCTGGGAGATCATAAGCAAGAATGTACAGACACAAATACTTTAGCAGACTGAGGCATAATGAAGAGCCAGTCATTTTGTGTGAATGAACAATATGAGAACGCTAATGCTTCTGAATAGCTCCTTTAAAGAGTGAATTCACATAATGAGACATAATGGCTACCGTTTCAACAAACATATTGTGCATTGTAATTGCTTATTGGTAATTTATGGATAATGTGTTAAGTCAATTGTTATATGTTGTATGGAACCACTGCTGTTTCTACTGTTTTTACTGTTTGTGAACCGCTGTGAGTCGCCTTCGGGCTTGAGATACAGCGGTATATAAGCAAAGTAAATAAATAAATAAATAAATAAATAAATAAACACTGTCCAGCACCAAAACAGTACAGTATACAATACCTAGAATTGAAAATCACACTCAAGTCTGAAGCTATCTCTGCAAATGAGAGACCAAAGAGAAAGACTTCAAATAGAGATAATTTGAATTATAATAGCAATGGAGTGATAATCTACCACTTTGGTCTACTACATTTTCTTCTTCAGGCATCTTTGATGAAAGTCAGTTGTTCAGCACAGATTTTAAATAGGCTATATCTTCCTATTTTGAACAGATGCTTGCAGTCAAATTACCTGTAACCCAGCTGCCTGCAAGCCACAGCTGCATCTCTATCGGTCCAGCCATCCCCACAGATGCCGCCCCACTGGCCATTCAGGAGAATCTCTATGCGCCCTTCTTTGGTGCGTTCCCCATCCACCAGCCGCAGAGGGAGTTCTGCCACTTGGAAGACATATTTGAAAATGACCTCAGAATGTGAGATGGAACAATGCAGTAACACTACTTCATGTGACTAGGTTTAGCAATCATCAGCAACTATAAAATCTATCAACTGAAAGGTTGCATGTTCAAAGCCCCGGGTTAGCGTGAGCGGCCGACTGTCAGCCATGCTAACTGGAATGAGGAAGTACTGACAGCTCTTCGTCATAGAGGATGGAACGACAGCACCCCCTGTGGCCTCGAGCCCAACCGTCCATGGCATCGAAACAACACCTCCTTCTGTGCTGTCTGTCTGTGTACTGTCTATACAAATGGCATTCAATGTTTGCCATGTATGTGTACTTGTGATCCGCCCTGAGTCTCCTTTGGGGTGAGAAAGGCGGAATATAAATAAAGTGTTATTATTATTATTAGTAGTAGTAGTAATTTACAAGTGGATGGGCTTAATTAAAATAATCTGGTGTAGAAGAACATTTTTGTTTGTTCATTTGTTTATACCCCACTATGGGACCTAAAGAAGCAAAAAGAAAAACAAAAAACAAAAAAAAGTTACAAATGGGGGAGAGACAACAGGAAGTGAAAGAAATCTACTTCTAACAAGATAAATTCACCCCTAAAAGAACCTAACTTGTTTGTAACTTGGGGACTGCCTATAGAAAAAGTGATCATTCCTGCTCTCTGTGGCACCATCTCTTTATCCCCATCTCTTCCACTAATGTGCTGATTTCTTTCTCATCTCACCACTGTGACAGCCAAGGAGACATCCTAGATGCCTTAATTGTTCCCATATGAGACTTCATTCATCTTATATCCCCACCGTTGATTAACTCCTGATACCACAGAAATTTCCAGTACTTCCTATGTAGCATTCTATGAAGCTCAAGTGTATGACACAAAAATAACTGTGTTGTCGAAAGGCTCTCATGACCGCAAACACTGGGTTGCTGTGAGCTTTCCAGGCTGTATGGCCATGTATCAGAAGCAACCTCTGAGGATGCCTGCCATAGATGCAGGCAAATGTCAGGAGAGAATGCTTCTGGAACATGGCCATACAGTCCGAAAAACTTACAACAACCCAGTTGTGAGGTCTGCTGGAAACTAGACAACTAAGGTTTGTATATCTGTGGAATGTCCAGGGTGGGATAAAAAACACTTGTCTGTTGGAGGCAGGAGTACATGTTGCAATTGGCCATCTTGATTTGCACTTAATAGCCTTGCAGCTTCAAAGTCTAGCTGCTTGAATAGCCTTACAGCTTCAGAGCCATAGCAGAGCACCTGATGAACCAACCTGGACACAGCATATTATTTGAGAACAAAGAAATGCTGGACCATTCTAACAACCACCATGTCAGACTACACAAAGAAACCACTGAAATCCACAAGAATGTGGACAATTTTGACAGAGAGGAAAAAACTATGAAAATGAACAAAATCTGGCTACCAGTATTTTTAAAAACTCTAAAATCAGGACAGTAATAAAGAGAAACACTCAAACAACAGGGGATTTCCAGTCAGGGCCAGCTAACACCTCCTAACAAAGGATTCCCCCAGGTAGGAAGCAGCCAGGCTTTAAAGCTGCAAAGGCTATTCAAGCAGCCATGTTCTTTTACACTGTCTTCTCAAGCCAGTAAGACAAGAATGTCTTGTCTTACTGGCACAGGCGAGAATTCAGACTGCCTCTCCTCACTTTTGACTCTACAAGGCAACGCCAGTTCCAGGTTTATACTGGAACAGGACAAACACAAGAACAAACATGGGGATTTGTAAAGAGACACCATGATGTGGTGGGTTGACTGGAAAGGCATGTGTCGGCAGCTGGTTGGCTGAGCATGCCAGGAGCCAGAGTTCTGATTGGCTACTGTCTCTGGCTTACTGCTGAGAGAAATGGTTTTAACTGCCACTTTCCCCTCGGAGAGTGAAGAGAGCGCTGACTGAAAACAATCAGGAAGGAAATGGCTGCCAACTCTCCAAAGCCTGGTTATTTATAAAGCAAATGAGGCATATTTAAAGACTGTTTAAAGGGACTGTTAATTTCCTCTGTTATCTGTAAGAATTCAGAGAGACTGCTGTATATCTCGTTGCCGTTTGACCTTTTGAACGGAAGTAAAGATACTGTTACTTGTTACACAAGCCTGAGTGACACTTTATTGTACTGCAGAGTATATCTTGGTTCAGAAACTGGGGTAAAGCTTCTGTTTATTTACATCTACAACTCCAATAAAACATGGCCACCCTTGTTGCAAATACCTTGTGCTGAAGCACTCAATTAAAACAAAGTAAGTAATTTCTGGATGGTTGTATCATCAAAAATCCAAAAACTTTGAGGCCATCTTACAGTGGAGAAGTGGGTTGTGCAAGCATTGCTCAGTGTCAGATTCTCCCTTAGATAATTTAGGATTGGTTACCTGCAGCCTCTATGGTGATGCTGTTGCTCTCTAGAGAACAGTGGACTCCTACATCTTCTTCGTGTGAGCAGTCATGCTGGCCCCAGTTGCTATGCGGACAGTCGAACAGAGACTGCTCAGTGCCCATGCAAGCCACATCATCCAGTAAGATGAAGCCTTTACCCGAAGCAAATTCCCCCTCTGACGCTAGCCTGGCAGGTCCACTGGAGGAAGTAAGTATATACATACACACTTACATACATACATACCTATACACATATACAAAAAACACAAACAAGAATGAGAGAGAGAAGAGGAGAGAAAATGGCTGCAAGTTAAGAGTGATGCAGAAAGAGACAGTATGGAGAAAACCTAAGAAGCACCATAAAGATATGCTATGACAAAACTTCTATAGATTCACATGTAAACTAACAATTAACGAATATACGAATGTACATAGGCAAAGGTGATTAACAGATCTGAAATACATATAACAATTTTTGCTCTTACCACTTCCTTCCATCCTCTATTGCTCCTTTGATTACAGTTCCATTGGGAAAATGTGCTTCCCTATTTTAAAACTTATGCTATGCTAAAGTATGCATGTCACTCAATTAGCTACTGGAGTAGGACTAAGCACCATACAAATATTGCTGCAATTACTGCTTCAAGCCAAAAGGATGTTCAGCTATTATGGTTGGATAGGTTCGCTCAGATGTGGCATAATTCGGGGAAAAACAGATGTTTTTGCCTTCCGAAGGGACTTTCGCCATGTTTCTGCAAAGCTGTAGTCACCTATAGTTTCGACTTGCCTGTGATTTCAGGGATGCGAAAGTGAGTTGGAATTATGATGAATTGTTTTTAATGCAACTAAGCCTGCTGGGAGGCGAAGCCTAAATGCTTGCCTCCCAGCCAATCAGGGGTTACGTCTTGGGGAGGGGAGAGCTTTGCAATGAGGGAGGGAGATGGCCCTGGAGTTTCCCCAGTGCCAGTGCTGTTTTCCGCGTATTGCACAATTGTGTCCGCCATTAACAAATTAATTCGGAAGTTTCAGAAAGTTATTGGCTCATTGGCAGCCAGGGAAGGGAGAGGGGAGGTTGGACCATTGTTGCTGTTGTGTGTTGGGTGGAAGAAAAGGTTTGAAGAGGAAGGCAAGGCAGAAGGGAAGATTTAGAAAGAGGAAGGATTTGGAGCCAGAAAAAAGGAATTTTGAAAAACGGAGGAAGGTAAGGGAGAAGGGAAGATTTTGGGAGAGGAAGAGTTTGGAGCAAGGGAAGTGAGAAAAAGGAAAAGTTTGTTTGGGAGAGGGTGAAATTAATAAAGTCATTTTATGGAAATTTCTTTTTTGCTCACCATTAAAGCTTTGCTATTTTTATTGGGGTCTCTCCCTTTTTTCTGGGGTGTGTTTTGAGGACTTGACGCTACATTTCCCAACCTTGCTGGGCCTCAGCTACACAAACAGTGAATTTCAACAGTATGAATGTGTCTGAAAATTAGGGGGAGTGATCCCCTATAACCTTTTGTCATTTCCTTAAAAAATCAAGGAGGTAGCTCTTTTATTTTTATTTTAATAAATTATTTACAAAATTGTTTTTAAAAAATTCTTAAAAATGGGTGGATCATCTGAACATGTAGAAATTTGGTATGCTAACAGAGGAGGGTGCATTGTAACAGTATGTCATCAAAATTGGAGTAAAAAGGAGGGAGGGAGATAGCACTGGAGTTTCCCTAGTGCCAGTGCTGTTTTCTGGTATTGCACAATCATGTCCGCCATTAACAAATTGATTCGGAAGTTTCAGAAAGTTCCAACTTTTTTGGGAAAATTCGGAAGTGACTTTAGAATCGAACCACCAAAGCCTCCTAAATCCGAAACGAGTTTTGAATTTTTTTTTATCAACCAAGCCTATCAGCTATTGTCTTGCTCAGAGTGAAAGGAAAATTCAAAGCTCCACAACTCATAGAAACATGAAATGTGAGAAACATGAACAAGGATTTCTGTGTTTTGTTGTGAAAGCTGGACAGTGAAGAAAGTTGATAGGAAGAAAATGAAAACTGAAATTCAGTACAGGAGGAGAATTCTGCAGATACTATGGCTTGCCGAAAGACAAATAAGAAGGTCTTTGAGCAAATCAAGCTTGAAATCCCCATACAAGCCAAGATGACTAAGCTGAGACAGTCGTACTTTGGTCTTATCATATGAGAACGTATGACTCTAGAAAAGACAACGAGGCAAGGCTGAATACAGCAGGAAAAGAGGAAGATGGTTGGACTTAATCAAGGAAGCCACAGTCTTGAATATGCAAGACTTGAGCTGGGCTATTGATAACAGGGTAACTTGACAGTCTCTCATTTATAGAGTCTCTGCAAGTCAAAGTCAGCTTGACAACAGTTTGCTGCAGTAGCATATGAGATACCAAACAATGATTTGTGACCGGTTAGGAGCCCCCAGTGGCACAGTGGGTTAAAGCACTGAGCTGCTGAACTTGCTAACCAAAAGGTCGCAGGTTCAAATCCGGGGAGCGGCATGAGCTCCTGCTGTTTGCCTCAGCTTCTACCAACCTAGCAATTCGAAAACATACAAATGTGAGTAGATCAGTAGGCATTGTTCCGGCAGGAGGTAACAGCGCTCCATGCAGTCATGCTGGCCACATGACCTTGGAGGTGTCTGCGGACAACGCTGGCTTTTCGGCTTAGAAATGGAAATGAGCACCAACTCCCATGACTGGACTTAATCTCAGGGGAAAACATTTACGTTTACCTTAGTAGAACAAAATCATCATATGAATTGACTTTGTAAATAATTTTTCTCCTAAATTTGGTCTGATTTCATTCTAACATCTATTACAAACAAAATGAAAAGCCTACCTAAAGCCCAGCTGTCTGCAAGCCACCTGAGCATTGATACCAGTCCAGCCATCATCACATACACATCCCCAGCCTCCATTGTGGTAGACTTCCACCCTTCCTTCATTTGGGCTGTGGCCTCCTGACAGCCGGATGCTACCTTCTGGTGCAGAACAAGCAGACAGACAAAGGAGTTAGGATTTTCTCTTCACATGTTCTTGAAGTCTACAGCTCATAACCCACATGGAACAAGTGAGTTAAATGTCAGCCATGACAAATTCCATTTTTTTTCATTGACTTATCATCTATTTAACTGATCTGTAGCACTTACTGTACCACTTGGTAGTATAACTATATAATGGGAAATTCTTTAGGGTCTCCTTGCAAATAATCTGTGTATTTACTGATGAAATACTAAAGAATTACCTGCAAATGGGTCACAGATTACCCCTGCATCTTCAATGTGGTCACAGTTATGGTCTCCCCATCCACTTTTCTTGCACTGTTCAAGTGACAACTCATTGCCCGAACACTCCACTTCGTCCAGAAGGATGGGGCCAAAGCCCTGCCCAAAGTAAGCCCAGGAGACAGCTTTTGGGATTCCTCTGGGAAGAAGACAAATATATACACTGTGATAGAATCTCAACATGGTAATAGAAGAAACTCAGAAAGTTTTATTGAGGTCAGCCCTATCAGCTGTACATTTATAAACATTTCTATAAATATAAAAGCAGGTGACAATTACCTGAAGCCCAGCTGCCTGCAAACCACCTCAGCATCCTTGTCATCCCAGTGGTCATCACAGATGGTGCCCCAGTGGCCTCGGTGGTAGACTTCGACTCGACCCTCAAAGCTCTTTTCACCGGCTACTAGACGAAGTGGAAACCCTATACCTGCTCTCCAAGAAAGATAAGAACAAGATAGAAGTAATATTAGTTATATCAGAACATTTCATGGCCGGAATCACTGGGTTGCTGTGAGTTTCTCAGGCTGTATGGCTATGTTCCAGAAGCATTCTCTCCTACCATTTCTCCCACATCTATGGTAAGCATCCTCAGAGGTTTTGACCTCACAACCTCTGAGGATGCCTACCATAGATGTGGGTGAAACGTTAGGAGAGAATGCTTCTGGATCATGTCCATATAGCCCAGAAAACTCACAGCAACCCAGAATATTATTTGGTGGCTCAACACAAATCACCTTTCTCCCATCACTGGGAGTTCTGTTTATATTTCCTGCCAATTCATACTTTATTGCTCTTTACCGAAAGATGTAGCAAAAGGATATTCTGGAGCCAGGAGAGAAAATGGTCCATGAGTGAGAATAAAACAATTGGTCTGGAACATGGCCGTATAGCCCAGAAAACTCACAGCAACCCAATAATTGGTTCTTTCACAATGACTGTTGCCAGTTCCCAAAAAATCCCACCTATATATGTATTACCTTTACCCTGGACTGAGAATGGAATTGCCTATTATGTTTTTCACCACCATCACTCCAAGCTTTCCCATACAAAATCCAATAAAACTCAAAAGTGCAAAAGAACATCTTTAGGCAACAAATAATAGAATGGTAGGTGGGAATTTATCCACCTTATTCTACCCCATCCCAAACACAGACTGGGAATGCATTCAAAATTAGAGCTCCTTTAGAAAAAAATTGGCCAGTTTAAGCACTCTTTAAAAAAATATGAATAACTTAACATTCACTTTGCCTTTGAGAGAAAGACATATGCTACTTAGTGAGTCACTCTTCTTGGATCTTGGGATGCTATTTGAAATTGAATTAAGCTATAAAATGTGCCTCATTCTGAGAAGAACAGGAAGGCCAGGAGCCCTGGTTCACTTTAAAAGCATGCATATGTGAGGAGTTTTCATTTAGCCTTATTACGTGCTAATGAAGCAAGTCACTTTTTCACATTTCACAGGCTAGAAATAGTGACACTTAAGGCCATTCATCCATGGTGGGCCTAGGATATGACATCAGGTCAGAATCTGAAAGAAGGATCTGGAATCAGAATTTCAGAAGCAGAATATGAATGGAGTAAACTCCATTTATATTCATATAAACTCACACTTGATTAATAATAATTCAGGATCAAATTAGATATGTCAGGGACAGCTACATCTTTTTACCATGTTTCTACATAAGTCTATATAAATAAAAAATGTAATGTTCATTTGTGGGATTAAGGTTAGGTAAAGGTTTTCCCTTGACATTAAGTCCAGTCATGTCTGACTCTGGGGTGTGGTGCTCATCTCCATTTCTAAGCCAAAGAGCCAGCAGTTGTCCATAGACACCTCCAAGGTCATGTGGCCAGCATGACTTAGTAGGGCTGGGCGGTTTCGTTCGTTAATTTCGTAATTCGTTATTAATTTGTTATTTTTCTTGATAACGAAGCGATATTGAACCATTCAGGAGCAACTAAAAATCGAAACGAATTTTTCAATTCGTTTCGTAATTGTTTCGTAATTGTGTCGAAATCGATTCGTAATTGTTTCGAAATCGTTTCGTTGTTATTTCCGCATGTCTGGTGCAAGTTTTATACTTGTTTGTTTTATCAGTGAAAAAAAATATAATTATCACACCAACAGTCAACAACAGAGGGAGAGGGAAGCTTCAGAAGTTCCCCTTGTCCCATTTGGAGGTTTTTTTAGCGTATTGCGCGGTCGCGTCCGCCATTAACGAATCGATTCGTAATTGTTTCGTAATTGTTTCGTAATTATTTTTACGAATTATGAAATTTCGTAATATCGAACTTTTTTAAAGAAAAAATTCGGAATTCTTTTAAATAACGAAACACAAAAACCGCCTAAAAAAGAATCGAGTTTAGAAACAAATTTTTCCGTGGTTGGACAGCCCTAATAAGACACTTCCAAGGTCATGTGGCCAGCATGACTGCATGGAGCGCCGTTACCTTCCCGCCGGAGCGGTACCTATTGATCTACTCACATTTGCATGTTTTCGAACTGCTAGGTTGGCAGAAGCTAGGGCTGACAGCGGAAGCTCATGCCGCTCCCCGGAATTGAACCTGTGACCTTTCGATCAACAAGCTCAGCAGCTCAGTGCTTTAACCCACTGCGCCACCGGGGGCTCCCGTTACCTTACCTCAAAAACCACTGGACGAATTGACACCAGATTTGGACACAATACACCTATCAGGCCAACAAGCGACCATCACTCATAACCCCCCCCCAAAAAAACACAGTGGAAGAGACTTAAAAAGCCAAAAAATAAAAAATACATTACAACGCATGCGCAAAACTACATGGACGAATTGACACCAAATTTGGACACAAGACACTTCTCAGGCCAACGAGTGACCATCACTCATAAAAACACTGAAAAACACAGCAGAAGGGACTTAAAAAGCCAAAAAAACCCAAAAAATACATTGCAACGCATGCGCAAAACCACATATATATATACACACAAACACACATATACACAAATATATACACACATATATACACACACAAAACACATATACACAGACTGGGCTACAGCAATGCGTGGCAGGGGTCAGCTAGTCATTTATAAAATGGGAACTCCTGGTGGCTCAATGGGTTAAACCTGTGCCAGCAGGATTACTGACCAAAAGGTTGGCGGTTCAGATCCGAGGAGTGGGTGAGCTCCCATCTGTCAGCTCCAGCTTCCCATATGAGGACATGAAAGAAGCCTCCACAGGATGTTCCCTTGGCAATGTCCTTGCAGACGGCCAATTCTCTTACACCAGAAGTGACCTGGCTGTTTCTCAAGTCACTCTTGACATGAAAAAATAAAATAAAATGTGTGGTATCATCTGATTTTTCTATTAGGAAGATTAGTGTGTAAGTGAAGACAGTATATAGACCCTCCTCTGTTTTGCCTCCATTCATGATGCCATTTACTTACCATATTAGAGCCAGGCTGGAGAGTTTGATGTAATGAAGGTAATATAAAGCATGATGTAGTCACTCTTGCTTGCATTGTGCAGATATTTTATTTTTAAATCAGGCAACACCCAACTTGCTCCCACCAGCCGTGATAAACAAACGGCAATACATGAACAACAAATGCACTGCTGCATTTTTTAGGCCTTTTAGCGATGGTGCTGCATGCAAGTATGGAGAGAATTGGGGGAGAAAATGACCAGTAACCTGAAAGTGGCATGGAAATAGTGTTGAGGTTTTCATGTCTGCACACACACCACTGTTGCCTTGGGTTAATAAACAATACAAAAACATCTTTAGACAAATACAACAGCTTGGTAAATGGAGATCCTGGTTGCACATGCCCCTGTTTCAGATGTGTTGGAAATGTTTCTGATTTGCAATCTTGCTCAATCATCAGCAGAATGCCTTTATTTGTAGGTTACCTGGAGGCGGGACACAGTTTGCCACTGCAATTCCCTGAATGCAGGTTCTGTGCATCTTTTGGTAGCTGCACTTCAACAGCATCTTCTCATCCCCACGACAGTTGACAGATTGCAGATGGACAGGCCCCAGACCCGAATGGCTCTTCCTTTGGGCGGTGCCAATTGCACTAAGGTACAAAGTAAAAAAGTGCAGTATCTTCATTGAAAATGACTGGAAAGGATAAACTTTAGCTTCCCTTGCTCACCTCTCCAACCCTCCAAATCTATATCAGGACCTACTTCTGTCATCCCAAATACTTTTACTTTAGCAGCTTGCAGCCCTACTATTTTCTTTATGTAGAGTTATAGTTGGGCATGGTGAACTTTTTCATAGTTGTTAATTGTAATAATAATAATGATAATGATAATAATAATAATAATAATAATAATCCTTTATTTATATACTGCTCTATCTCCCCAAGGGGACTCGGGGCAGTTTCCAGCATGGTACAGCATTGCCACTGCTGACATATGAACATACAAAATCATCATAAAAATATATAGTACTGTATAACAGTCATACATATTAAAAATTAAAAACCAGTTTGGTACTAATTACATCAGACAGCTCAGTTTCCAACGGCCAAGATTCCAAAGTGGAACTCGACAACTATGAAAGGACTGGGTTAGAACAATGAGGTAGACTAGGGCCTGGGGAGTGGATAAAGTGCAAACATGGCCTATCCGATGGTCAAGGGGGACCTGGATCTATTTATTTCTGAGGCCTGCTGCGAAAACACAAGAGGACTGGGCCAACAGGAAATATAGGGCTGGGGGAAGTGGGTAAAGTGCATAACAAGGCCCTAACTAATGGCCAGGTGGTACCTAAGACTCTTCATTTCCAGAGCCTGCTGAATAACTATTGTAGTTGTAGACCAGGGCTGGTAGCTGGTGAAGAGTTCTTGAGGACTCAGAAGTTTGCACATTTGTATAGCATCTTGGCTCACTCAAATAAAGGTATTAAATGTGAGTTTTGGATTTCTTAATATAAATGTATGCTTGGTAGGTGAACTGCCGGCTGAAGAGATTCTCTTTGACCCACCCCACCGCATTTAAGGGCCCTTCCACACAACCACATAACTCAAGGCAGAAAATCCTACAAGATCTGCTTTAAACTGGGTTATCTGAATCCACATTGCCTTCTATTCCAGTTCAAAGCAGAAAATGTGGGATTTTATTCAGCTGTGTGGAAGGGCCCATATCCAAGAATGATAGGAGGACAGTAAGGAAGGACAGTGGAGGCCTTCCTCCATGGAGGTCAAGGAGCCATCATCATCATCATCATCATTTGAAACATAACAAGATGAGTCCACAGCACACAAGATCACTCTGCTGGCTGTTGTATTGGACCACATGTCAGACACTTCCCAAGTGTCTAGGACTGTGTGATGTATCGGCGAATAATGCGTGCAGATCCCAGTAAGGTGGCCTTCTGCAGCTGGAGATGGTAATTTTGTCAGCACCGATTGTGTTTCAGTGTATGCCAAGGTCTTTAGGCACTGCACCCAGTGTGCCGATCACCACTGGGATCATCTTTACTGGTTTGTGCCAGAGTCTTTGCCGTTCAATCTTTAAATCCTCATATTGTGTCAGCTTTTCCAGTTGTTTCTCTTCAATCCTTCTGTCGCCTGGGATTGCAACATCAATGATCCATACTTTGTTTTTCAACATGATCGTGAGGTCACGAATATTATACTGCAAAACTCTGTTAGTCAGAATTCAGAAGTCCCAAGGTAGTTTGACGTGTTCATTCTCTGTAATTTTTAAAGTTTGTGGTCCCACCAGTTTGTTGTCGCAGGCAGATGGTATTTGTGGCACAAGTTCCAATGAATCATCTAATCAATGCTGTTATGCCTCTGCTTGTAGTCTGTCTGAACGATCTTCTTGCAGCAGCTGAGAATGTGATCTATTGTTTCATCTGTTTCCCTGCACAGTCTACATTTGGGATCTGTCGCTGACTTTTCAATTCTGACTTTGATGGCATTTGTCCTAATGGCTTGTTCTTGGGCTGCCAGAATCAGGCCCTCCGTCTCCTTTTTCAAAGTTCCATTTGTGAGCGACAGCCATGTTTTTTCTTTATCAATTTGGCTCTCAATTTTTCCCAGGAACTGTCCTGGGATTTTTTTATTATTATTTTAATGTTTTTAATTTTATCTTATTTTATTTTATTCATTTATATACCACTTTTCTCACCCCAGGAGGGTTTCCAACATATTCACAGCAAAATTAAATGCTTCACAACAATATGAAAATCTAACATAAAGCAACAATAACATAAAACTATCAATTAAATCATAAAATGTAACAGCATGACAAGAATCACATTGTGTCAGGGTAAAGAAATGCTAAACCCCAGCAGCTAAATATTGCTATTTGCTGTGATTTATTCTTACCTGAGTCCCAGCTGCTTGCAGACCACAGTGGCATCCTGGTCTGTCCAGTGGTCTCCGCAAATACTGCCCCACATCCCACTGAAATGTAGCTCCACCTGGCCATCCTCCTTCAGCTGCACAGCACCTATCAAAACAAAGAACACAAAATGGTGTCAGAATTGTTGCAAGAGCAAAATCTGAGAAAATTGAGATAAGGAACGTTCCCCCCACTTTCAGACACAAATAAGAAAAGCAATATTCTCAGATGAAGGAAGCAAAACCACATTGTTGGTTCTGATTCAGCAAAAAATGTGTGATGTGGGAAATGGAATATGAGTGGATGGAAAGCAATGGACTATAACAAATTTATCTCAAAATAGCTTACCTATGGCCATACTTCAAACATGTTATGTAGTTTCATTCACTGTTAGGGAGAAAAAGGAACCTTTTCTCTTCTTGGCTGTTCTATAGCATTCAGGTCAGGGAAGTTTAGATAGTTCTCTCGCAATTTCATACATCTTCACAAAAACTCTTTGAGGTAGGTTTTGCTGAGAGATAGTGGTTAACTCAGTGGTTCTCAACCTTCCTAATGCCGTGACCCCTTAATACAGTTCCTCATGTTGTGGTGACCCTCAACCATAACATTATTTTCATTGCCACTTCATAACTGTAATTTTGCTATGAATCGTAATGTAAATATCTGATATGCAGGATGTATTTTCATTAATTGGACCGAATTTGGCACAAATACCCGATACACCCAAATTTGAATACTGGTGGGGTTTGGGAGGGGGAGTTGATTTTGTCATTTGAGAGTTGTAGTTGCTGGGATTTATAGTTCACCTACAACCAAAGAGCATTCTGAATTCCACCAATGATGGAATTGAACCAAACTTGACACACAGAACTCCTCCATGACCAACAGAAAATACTGGGTCTGGTGGGCGTTGTCCTTGAGTTTGGAAGTTGTGGTTCACCTACATCCAGAGAGCATTGTGGACTCAAACAGTGATGAATCTGGACCAAACTTGGCATGAATACTCAATATGCCCAAATGTGAATACTGGTGGAGTTTGGGGGAAACAGACCTTGACATTTGGGAGTTGTATCCAGGATTTATAGTTCATCTACAACCAAATAGCATTCTGAACGCCACCAACGAGAGAATTGGGCGAAACTTCTCACACAGAACCCCCATGACCAACAGAAAATGTTATGTTTTCTGATGATCTTTGGCGACCCCTCTGACACCCCCCTCGCAATCCCCCCAGGGGTCCTGACCCCCAGGTTGAGAAATAATGGATTAATCAAAGACTGAGCTTCACAGCTGAGTACAAATCTCTCCACCAAGTCCTAGTTCAACATGCCTACTTGGGATTCACAACGTTTTTGACCCTGAAAGATCCTCCAAGGATATTGGAGCAGGGCTCACTGGCGGCATGCATGTGTGTGCAGAGTCACCCACTTGGATCCATAGATTCCTTATGTTGGTTTGGTGGGCAATGCATGGTGTTTCTTCACCAACAGTGATGTAGAAAAAGCAATCCTGATGAAGAGCAGAGCATGGAGAAGAGACTTTTTTGGCTAGCATTAGAAGTATCAGCATCTGTGTGCATGTCATATAGAAATTGATCAGAGGGAATAGGTTTGTGAACCCCTCACCACATTGACTCTCATGTAAATGCAGCTAAATGCATCCTCATCCTCTCCATTTTCAAACCTCACGGACCTCCATTCCCTGAATATCCTGAATATTTTGGCCTCCATTCCCTGAAAATCCTGGATCATGAGAGTGGTAACTGCCATGAAAAGGGTAGGGGATCTGATAACCCCTTGAAGATGATGGTTGATTTCAATGTGAGCTTTTCTGGACTTCAGCCCCAGTATGAAATTAATGGATGTTTATGCCAAAATAAACCAGTCAATGTGTTGTTGAAGGCTTTAATGGCTGGAATCACTGGGTTGCTGTGAATTTTCTGGGCTGTATGGCCATGTTCCAGAAGCATTCTCTCCTGACGCTTTGCCTACATCTATGGCAGGCATCCTCAGAGCTTGTGAGGTCTGTTTGGAAACTAGGCAAGCAGGGTTCATATATCTGTGGAATGTCCAGGGTGATAGAAAGAACTCTTGTCTGCTTGAGGCAAGTGTGAATGTTGCAATTGCCCACCTTGCATAGCAATTAACGGTCTTGCAGCTTCAAAGCTTGGCTGGTTGCTGCCTGTGGGAATCCTTTGTTGGGAGGTGTTAGTTGGCACTGATTGATTCTAGTATGAACTTCCCCTGCTTTTTGAGTATTGCTCTTTATTTACTGATTTTAGAACTTTTAATACTGCTAGGTAACGGTGCTCCATGCAGTCATGCCAACCACCATGACCTTGGAGGTGTCTACCGACAACGCCGGCTCTTTGGCTTAGAAATGGAGATGAGCACCACGCCCCAGAGTCAGACATGACTGGACTTAATGTCAGGGGACTACCTTTATCTTTATCTTTTTCCAGTATTAAAACCAGTCAATCATGCCAAAATAAACCAGCCCAAATAAGACTGCAATATTCCATTCCCTGGAGCCTCCAGTGGTGAAGCGGGTTAAACAGTTGAGCTGCTGAACTTGCTGACTGAAAGGTTGGCAGTTCGAATCCGGGGAGCAAGGTGAGCTCCCACTGTTAGTCGCAGCTTCTGCCAACCTAGCAGTTCAAAAACATGCAAATATGAGTAGATCAATAGATACCACTCCAGCTGGAATGTAATGGCACTCCATGCAGTCATGCTGGCCTCATAACCTTGTAGGCATCTATGGACAACATCAGTTCTTTGGCTTAGAAATGGAGATGAGCGCTATCGGCCAGAGTTGGACACAACTAGACTTAATATCAAGGGGAACCTTTACCTTTACTTTTTATTCCTTTCCCTCTCCCCTCCCTTTTTCTTTTTTATGCTGCAATCTATTAACATAACCATCTCTTTGTAAACAGAGGAGATGGCTCCTAGAATCTGCATTTGGCATCTTAGCAACAACTGAGACATCATTCCACCTCTTTTTCACCTCTCTTCCGTGTTATTTCAGATTCATCTACTTTTCACCTTCTAAAGCAGAAAGTAATAGATCAGTATCAGATATTTTTCGTAGTATAAAAAAAACTACTGTTGGAAATTTCAATACTTATTCTTCCCATGTTGGCTTTTTAAATACTAACAGGCCTTATCTGTGTGTAACATGTTGCTTGGCCTTTTGTAAAAATGCCACCATGGGACAGATGGAAAGGGAACAAGGATGCTTCTATTTTCAGCTATCTCTGAGATGAACTTTCCACTGCATTCAGTTCCAGCTGAAGTAAAATCATCTAAATAATCCCTTCTACGCTTTAAGGCTTTCAGCTGAGATCAGAATCACAGAGTGTAGCATTTCGCACTTACCGTGCCGACAGTCACAGTGAGCCCAGCCAACTGCTCCAGAAGAAAGTTGGTAAAAGCACCAAGGTACTGCCGCGCCATCTGGATTCCTGCAGAAATTGTGATTTCCTAATCCACGGTTTGGATACTGCAGAATGTAATCAGGGAAATCTGACCAGTTCAAGCATGCTGATCCAGAGACTGTCACATCCAGTGACCCATTATAATATCCAAGGTTCTCCACCTCACATGAGCTGGATGCTGGAAAAAGAGAAGAGTCCATTGAGGTTGCCTCCCTCCATGCCCAGCAACCTGACTGCAGTTACTAACAGGAACAACAACAGAATTGCAGAAACATAGTGTTGGAAGAGACCAGAAAAGCCTTCGAATCCAGCCCCCTGCCATGCAGGAATATATAATCAAAGCACTCCCTACAAATGGCTAACCAGCCTTGGTTTTTAAAAACTTCCAAAGAAGAGACTCCACCGCACTTCAAGGGAGCAAATTCAACTGCCAAACAACTCTTCCTGCCAGTAGGTTTGGCCTAGTGTTTAGCTGGTATCTTTTTTACCTACAGCTTGAATCCACTGCTCTGTATTATAGGCTTTGGAGCATCAAAAAGCAAGCTTTCGCCTTCCTCAACATGCCATCTTTTCGATTATTTAAACATGGCTATCATTAATTCAGGCGCCCCCGGTAGCGCAGTGGGTTAAAGCATTGAGTTGCTTAACTTGTTGACCGAAAGGTCGCAGGTTCGAATCCAGGGAGTGGCGTGAGCTCCTGTTGTCAGCCCCAGCTTCTGCCAACCTAGCAGTTTGAATGTGAGTAGATCAATAGGTACTGCTCCAACGGGAAGGTAATGGTGCTCCATGTAGTCATGCTGGCCATATGACCTTGGAGGTGTCTACAGACAACACCGGCTCTTCAACTTAGAAATGGAGATGAGCATCAACCCCCAGAGTCGGACATGACTGGACTTAATGTCAGGGGAAAACCTTTACCTTTTACATTATTATTAATTCTTAGCCTTTCGTTCTCTGGGCAAAATATATCTAGCTCCCTCATAGGGCTTGATTTCCAGGCATGTTTAATATGCAGATTAAGCCTGAGCTGAAAATGTCTACACTTTCTGTAACCTGTAAATTGAAATGCCATTTTGATAATTTCTGCTGTGAGCAGGAAAAAATATAGAATTTGGTGGAGGCAGAAGCTTAGGGCCCTTCCACACAGCCATATAACCCAGAATATCAAGGCAGAAAATCCCACAATATCTGCTTTGAAGTGGGTTATCCACACTGCCATATATTCCAGTTCAAAGAAGACATTGTGGGATTTTATCCAGCTGTGTGGAAGAGACCTTAGAGGGGGAAGAAATAATATCATCTATGTAGGGAACTGGACATGGGCAGTGTGTCCCTGTTGGTTCTCCTGGACCTATCAGTGGCCTTTGATAACATAGACCACAGTATACTTCTGGGACACCACATGGGAATGAGGCTCAGGGGCACTGTTTGCAGTGGCTCCAGTCCTTCCTGGAGGATCGTTCCCAGAAGGTGTTGTTGGGGGACACTTGCTCGACTTGTAGCCATTGTTCAATGGAGTCCCGCAGATTTCAGTACTGTCCCCCATGTTGTTTAACATCTACATGCAGATGACGTCCAACTCTATTTCTCCTTTCCCCCTACTGGTCCTGAACCGGTGCTTGGCAGCTGTGATGGTCTGGATGAGGGTGAACAAACTGAAACTGAATCCAGACAAGACAGAGGTGCTCCTGGTCAGTTGCAAGGCCAAACAGGGTATAGGATTACAGCCTGTTCTGGATGGTTACACTCCCCCTGAGGACACAGATTCACAGCTTGGGAGTCTTCCTGGACTCAATGCTGAGCCTGGAACCTCGGGTTTTGGTGGTGGTCAGGAGAGCATTATCACAATTAAAACTTGTGTGCCAGCTGCACCCATACCTTAGGAGGTCAGTCTTGGCCATGGTGGTCCATACTCTCATTACATCTCGAATAGACTACTGCAACGTGCTCTACATGGGGTTGCCTTTGAAGACTGCTCGGAAGCTTCAAGTAATCCAACAGGTAGCAGCCAGATTTCTTACTGGAGTGGCGTACAGGGAGCATACCACTCCCTTGTTCTACTGAGTGCCAGTCTGCTACCGAGCACAATTCAAAGTGGTGGCTTTAGCCTATAAATCCCTAAACGGTTCCAGTTCAGCTTACCTGTCTGAACACAGCTCCCTCTATGAGCCAGTTAGAGCATTAAGATTGGCTGAGGAGTTCCCGCCATCCTCGGAGGTGCGATTGGTGGGACCAAGAGACAGGGCTTTCTTGGTGGAGGCCCTTCAGCTGTGGGACTCCCTCCCCAGCAAAATTAGATTGGTCCCTTCCCTCCTGGCATTTAGAAAACAACTTAACACTCGGCTATTCAAACAAGCATTCAGTGAGTGATAGCAATGATGTAGTAGTCAAATTACGACCTCAGGATTGGTGCAATATTTAAAATGTTTTATGTCTATGTCTGATGTTTTATAGTTTTGAAGGTTTAAAATATGTTATTTTTAGATATGTAATGTATTTTACATATATGTGAGGCATTAAATTTAGCCATATATTATGTTGTGAACCACTTTGAGTCAACCCAGGGGTCAGAAAATTGGTATAGAAATGCAATAAATAAATAAATACCAGAATAAAATTCATCCCCTTTTTCCCTTTTGCTTGTAGTGAGCAACAACATTGTAGGACTCTTTCATAATATATAATTACATCATTATCATTCCACTTTAATTACCTTGGCTACATCCTATGGAATCCTGGGATTAAGTTTTGTCAGAGGCACCAGAGAAGTTCTAAAAATATCTCCCCCAACTGCAAATTCTAGGCTACCATATGATGCAACCATGGTAGTTAAAGTGGAATCATTCCATTATTAGAATATAGTGTGAAAGCGCCCTAGTTGAGTGTAATGCTCACCTATAATACCTCACATCAGTTTGGAATGCAGCTAAAACATTACATCACTCTAGAACAGGGGTAGGGAACCTTTGGCCCTCCAGCTGTGGTGGACTTCAACTCCCACAATTCCTTGAGGCTCGGCATTCGCCCCAAAGGCTTACCTTGGCCCAATGCCGAGCCTCAAGGAATTGTGGGAGTTGAAGTCCACCACAGCTGGAGGGCCAAAGGTTCCCTACCCCTGCTCTAGAAGGATCATTCGGAAAACATGGAGTGAAAGCCCCTCCCCATGCTGAGTTACTGAATTAAAGATTGTGTTGGGTAGTATCAGCTTCTGCTATTATTATTTACAAACAAATATCATTTTGAATCATGAAGAATCTCTCAAATGTGCAAAAACACTCTCTCTTTCTTTTTAATGCCACTCCTGCTTCTAAAGTAGCAAGCATGGGACTTAAACCTGACTTTACACGAAATGATGAAACCTCAATTAAAATGGTTATAATGATAGTGCATTCTTACCTGCATTCTGCAAATGATTCTGACTGTACTGAGCTCCTAAGAAAGCCTGGGAAGAAATGGAAAAAGTAGGGTTACAGACATCTTAATTAGAGATGGGGAAACTCGGGCCCCTTCTATACTGCCATATAAAATCTAGATTAACTGCTTTGAACAGGATTATCTGGCAGCATAGACTCATATAATCCAGTTCAGAGTAGATTAAGTTGATTATCTATTTGATAATCTGGATTATATGGCAGTGTAGAAGGAGCATCAGACACACATGGATTTTCCTTCTTGTCTACCTTGCGTCTTTGGGCCAGCTCCCTTTCTTTTCAGGAATACGTAGGAAATAGTATCCTTCACCACTTCAGTAACTAAAAACTGGAATATTCTGATGTCAGAACTTTGTGTGTGTGTCTGTGTGCATTTCAGTTCAGTATAGACAAACTCAGATTTTAATCACAAATGGGATTTGAAATATCTTTGGGCCCTTCTACACTGCCATATATTCCAGAATATAAAGTCAGATAATCCATATTATCTGCTTTGAACTGGATTATCTGAGTCCACAGTGTCAGTTCAAAGCAGATAATCTGGATTTTATACAGCTGTGTAGAAGGGGCCCTAGTCTTGAAAGGTCATACATTACGGCAAAGCACAGCAGAGTAGACATGCCTAGAAATGAGCTGTCCTTTGCCCTAGGGCTTACTTCTGAATAGCAATGTTACGTCCTCTCCATCTCAGAGGAAGGCAATGGCAGGTCCCCTCCAAATAAATCTTACCAAGAAAACTTTATCAGAGGTTCACCATAGGTTGGAGCCAACTTGAAGGCAAGTAGCAATAGCAATAGCTATCCTGATATCATGGGTAGACCTTATTGTTTTCTAGGTTGCTGTAAGTTTTCTGGGCTGTATGGCCATGTTCCAAAAGCATTCTCTCCTGATGTTTCACCCACATCTGTGGTAGGCATCCTCAGAGGTTGTGAGGTCTCACAATCTCTGAGGATGCCTGCCATTGATGTGGGTGAAACATCAGGAGAGAATGCTTCTGGAACATGGCCATACAGCCCAGAAAACTCACAGCAACCCAATGATTCTAACCATTAAAGCCTTCAACAACTTTTTGTTTTCACTGACAAACTAAGGGGTGATCAGGGTTCCATAAAATGGTTTAGATGGACATTAATGATCCTACATCTTATCTCTATCCTTTTGAATGTTACAACCATCAGAATGTGGGGAAACAGAAGTAGCTAGGAACGTCATAATTAGTCTTTGGAGACAGTGGGACGATGGAAACAAATTTGTAGGGAGGCTTAAGGCAAAGTACAATTCTCTTTTGGGATGATACATTATGTAATGATCAATTATGCTTTCTTCATGAAAATGACTAGCTTTCAACTGACACTTTTTTTTGTACAGATTGAATATTCCTTATCTAGAATTGCGAAATCCTCTGGAATTCAAAATTGCCTGCATGGGTAACTGAAGTAGTGACATCTTTTTTCTGATAGTTCAATGTACACAAACTTTATTTCATGCACAAAATCATTACAATATTGTGTGAAATTACCATCAGATTATGTATGTAAGGTGTATATGAAACATCAATGGAAATCCGTGTATTCTAAAATTACAAAAAAACCAAAAAACCAAAAACCAAAACCAAACAACATCCCAAACACTTCTGATCCCAAGTATTTTGTATAAAGAATAATTATGCTTCAGGACCAGTCTATCTTCAAGACCACGTCTCCTTCTATGAACCGGTGAGGGCCTTGAGATCTGCTTGGGGAGGCCCTCCTCTTGGTCCCACCTCCATCTCAAGCATGCTTGGTGGGGATGACAGAGAGGGCCTTCGTGGTGGTGGTCCACCGGCTTTGGAATGTCTTCCCCAAAGAGATTAGATAAGCTCCCACTCTTCAAGTGTTTCAAACCATTCTGAAGACTTGGCTCTTCAAACAGGCCTTTGACTTCATTTAGGAATTGATTGTATTGAGGCCTTAGCTGATCATTTCTCCTTGCACTCACAGACTGATATTGATCGCAATTTGTTTTATATCTGCTGCTACTGTTGCATTTTATTGATTTCAGCTAGTGGAGTTTTTAGTTTTATGCTGTTGTTATTGTTATTGTAACTGTGATATTGTTTAGACACTTATTATTTTGTGTTTGTTGCACCTTGAGTGCTTTTGTGAGCTGCCCCAAGTCCCTTCGGGGAGATGGTGGCAGGGTACAAATAAAGTTTTATTATTATAATATTATTATTAGACTGTATATTTCAGAAGGAAAAATGCAATCCATGTGCCACATGGGACCACCAAGGTGTCAAAATTGTTTTGAAACTTTTGGTTCAAAATACCCCAAAATGGTTTCTAGGACCATTGGTGGTCATTTCCACCATGTTTGGAGGCTCCTCGAGTACCCCAAGGTCAAAATAAATTCTTGCAAATTTTTTCCAGAAAAAAAGATATTTTTTTCACTCAAAATGCCCTCTGCATCCCCAGGAAATTATACCTGAATAGCAGTTGTCCTTGAGAGGAGCCAATGCTTGAGAGGAGCCAATGCTTCTCAATTCATTATAATGAATAATGCTTCTCAATTCATTGAATGGGCTTTGTGGTTCCCTATTTCCCAATGCCCTTCATAACTAAAAAAATCCCGCTTTCATAAGACACTGACAAATCAAAGCACAATTTACAAGCATTCACACAGGGAATGTGCTGCAAGGAAGAGAGCAGCCAGACAGCATAGCATATTGGCATTCAGTGTACACACTTGCTTGAGTGTGTCAGACAGCGTGGGATGGGCTTGTTTAAGGGGGCCCTGCCCTAGCTCAGCATGAATGAAGATGCTGCAATCCAGATGGCAGGAGACCAACACTCTCCGCTGATGCCTTTACTCCCTGTCCCTGTCCTCTAACATGTTTTATTCCAACATTGTAAAAAGCAACGACACACAACCCAACTATTAATATAATAGTTAAGCAAGATCCATCTATTCTCACCCTAGTACCAAGGTTCTTTTTTAATGACTAAGGAATCAATCAGGACTGGAAAGGGATCCTCTATTGCAATGCTTGAGATATTGAAAACACATACTATACAATCCTTTGCTCATAGCTGGGATTGGCTTCAATTCTGTTTTATTCTCACAGTGCCCCACCCACAAGATAACTCTTGCACACTCCACCTCTTTTCAAACCTACATTCATGCACGGGCACTGACTATCTGGCATTTCCCTGGGCATCATTTCTGTATGCTTTTAGGGCACTAAGCAACCAAGTGACTTAATTTGGGAAGATGACGTCTCTTACCTTCACAGGTCCAAAGCAGGGGAGCAAGTGCTGCAGCAGGAATACTTGGAGGAGCATCATCCTTCCATAAGCAGTGAGTTGATTCTTCAGGCTTCACATTTTCTCTCTACAGCTAAGCTCATCCTTTGCCCACTGATCCTCCTCTGCTCCTCTCTGTCCCTATGCTTTCTGGGGGGCTAAGAGGCTCTTGTCATCTTGTCATGTCTCTCCTTACTCCTTTTCTTCTCCTAAGTGAGTGAATATAAGGCGATCCCGAACTTCTGAACCACCTTTGCAAATAACAATAGACAAATGCAGACTGGCAGAAAGCAGCCTTCAGGTTGCCAGGCTGGGTCCACACCTCTTTTTCTCCTCTGTACCTCCCCTTATCCTTAGCTTTCTCTCATGAGTCCCCTCCCCTTTTTTCTGGCTCTAAAAGCTTTCCTTGGCACAGTACATTCACATCTTTCTTTGACTACAGCCTCCTCCCTTCCAACCTGCATCAATCCAGCAGGGGTCTCTTTCTCTCCTCTTGGAACTTCTTATGACACTTCCCTTTGCTTTGCAGCCTTGCCTGAGGGTGTCAATCCAAATCTCCTGCTTAAGGGGGGGGGGGCAAAGGCATCTATGTGGAGTAAATTCTTTGCTTGAGCTTACAAAAGAATAATTGAACTAAAAGGAATCTGGACTTTAACCTTGCAGTTTACCCAACAACAGGGATAAAGCTGAGAGGCATAATATTCACTTTGGCTCCCTTCCTGGCATAATATCCTAGCAAAACAAGTGTTTCATACTAATCTGAGCAGCAGGAAAAATTCTCATGACTTTGTAGGATATGCAGCTCATGTGCCAACTGAATGGTGGACAGCAGAAATCTTTTTTGTCCATACCCACTGCACAGGGTGGTGGATCAAGCAACCAGAAAGGATGTGTTAGACCAGTGTTTCTCAACCTTGGGGGTCTTACTTGGGTGATCCCTCATTGTCCGAGTAGGATAGTCTTCCAAGGTCAGTGTACTGGTGGATCCGTAGGTGACTATGGAGCCCTATTCTTGATCTGCATCTTCTCCTGCAGTAAGGGCATTGGTTTCCAGATGGAAGAAGGTCTCAGTTGGGGTTGGTTTGACACGCCTTCCTCTTGGCACGTTTCTCTTTCACCCTCCATTCATGCCTCTAAAAAAAAGATGGCAGTTCTGCGTTCTGGGGCATTCACTATCAGTGTTGTACATCAGTGTCCATATGTTCCATGTTCTGAAGTTAATTTTTCTTTTTTGGCCGCAGGGTGGTGACACAACTGGATGCAGCAGTCCAGTCAGGGGTAAGAGAAGCAGACTATGTTTAGGGCACCTTTTCTAGCCCCTTCCCCATGTGGCGTGAGCAGAGTGGATCCTCAAAAGGGCTGCTCAGTCATGGATACAGCTTCCTTGGACCTTGAGGTAGAATGACTGAGTCCATATCCACCGCCCATGTGCCAGTCTGTGACTAGGGGCTTCCAGATTTCACAGTCCTGCCCCCGTTGCCACTCGCTGATCGCCATGGAACTTTTGTTGGTTTGTTTTTGTTTTCCTTGGAAGACGCCTGTGCGTGAGTTTTTTTAATGTGTAGAGATCAGTGCACAACAGATCAACACAGTCTTCACAGAGTGAGGTTTCACGGCTGGCATAGTTTAACATGACAACCATGGCTTCTCAATCTGTTGCAGCCTTCTTCTGTCTTCACAGCCATTGTAACATGTACCATGTTATCCCCTGCCTGCTCCACCGTTGAGGTCTTTGGGTCTTGGGACTGTGCTTGATCTGGAACCTCCCCTGCGGCCACTCCTGGGAGTGCACGACTCCAGTTGTTGCGCCCGCAGGTTCATTGGAACACACAAGCCCCCTCATCATGACAAGATGACAGTCCATCGAGGGGGTTGGGGGTCAGGTCCCCCGGGGGGGTCACAAGGAGGGTTCAGAGGGGTCACCAAAGACCATCGAAAAACACATATTTCAGATGGTCTTAGGAACCCCTTTGGCAGAGGAGGTTGAAGATATCTCTGCCTGTCCTTCTCTTTCTTTTTGGAAACAGACAGTGAATCCTCCCATCCAAAACTCAAAGTCAATGCCCACCAAACCCTTCCAGTATTTTCTGTTGGTCATGGGAGTTCTGTGCGCCAAGTTTGGCTCAATTCCATCGTTGGTGGGGTTCATAATACTCTTTGATTGTAGGTTGACTATAAATCCCAGCAACTACAACTCCCAAATGTCAAGGTCTATTTTCCCCAAACTCCACAAGTGTTCACATTTTGGCATATTGGGTGTTTGTGCCAAATTTGGTCCAGATCCATCATTGTCTGAGTCCACAATGCTCTCTAGATGTAAGTGACCTCAAGGTCCAAACTCAAGGTCAATGCCCACCAAACTCTTCCAGTATTTTTGGTCGGTCATGGGAGTTCTGTGTGCCAAGTTTGGTTCAATTCCATCACTGGTGGAGCTCAGAATGCTCTTTGATTGTAGGTTAACTATAAATCTCAGCAACTACAACTCCCAAATGACAAAACCAATCCCCCCTCAACCCACCAGTATTAAAAGTTGGGAGTATCGGGCATTTGTGCCAAATTTGGTCCAGTGAATAAAAAATACATCCTGCTTATCAGATATTTACATTACAATTCATTACAGGAGAAAATTACAGGTACGAAGCAGCGACGAAAATAATGTTATGGTTGGGGGTCACCACAACATGAGGATCTGTATTAAGGGGTCGCAGCATTAGGAAGGTTGAGAAACACTGTGTTAGAACCTTTTAGAAGTTCGTTTAACAAGAGCCCCTTGTATTCATTTCTTTTCTTTTTTTTTTTGGTCTTCTCAAAAACAACAGTTTAAAAATAGGTTTACAAAATACATGTTTAAAAATAACATTCCAAGTAATATAAGATAATATTCTAAAGCCACAGCAGTCAAGGCAATGAACAGTTGGATGACAATAAAAGCTGGTAATTTAGAGCCATCTGAAATAGATATTTACAAAGTTTTTAAAAAGCACCTCAATCCAGCCACACATCTCTGGAGATAGGAACTTCAATAAAAAGAACCTCTCACTAGTCTTTGGCAGTAGGAATATGTTTGGTTGCATGCTGCTAGTCGCTTCTGGTGTAAGAGAATCAGTCATCTACAAAGAAGTTGCCCAGGGGACCCCCAGATGTGTTACAATCTTGTGAGGAGAAATGGGGCTACAAAGTGGAGTCCATGGCATGCGAGTGTAGAGAAGAGCAAACCACAGACCACCTATTACAATGCAACCTGAGCCCTTCCACATGCACTATGGAAGACCTTCTTATAGCAACACCTGAGGCACTCCAAATGGCCAGCTACTGGTCAAAGGACATTCAGTATAATGGCAAGTTTTTAACTTTGTTTGTGTTTTTAAATACAACTGTACCCTCAATTTGCTTCTGACACGATAAATAAATAACAGTAGTAGAACCTATGGCAGGAAAATTAAAGCATAGGGCAAGTTCATATGGGTGGTTTCTCAGAATGGTTATAAACTATTCAGAGGAAGAGTCAAACATAACCAAACACTTGTTCATCATTTGGTCAGATTTTTTTAAAGGCTTCTATTACAGGAAACATTAAAACTGCAAAATCAGACAAGTTATTCTTCCTTGGTTTGATCTGACAGCAGCTAAATAGGTTAGAAACACATTCCTGTTTGTCCTTTAACAGAAACCAGAAGATGTGTCTGCTGTATTAAAAAATGTCCAAGGGAATATGATGGCAGCTATTAAATTTGATCTACACCCACTCTGGCTGGAGAAAGCCAACTAGCAGAAGCTTGGAATTCTGTTGGCTGAGATTATTAAGAACTCACTGAAGAAGAAGAAAGATCCAGACAACTTTAAATCCATAGCTGTTTGATGCTTATTTTTTTCAAAAATCTAGTTTGGGTTCAGTTATCTCATTTCTTACATCCCATTTTTCGGAAGATTGGAGTAGGGCTACCCTTTATTGGCAGGTATTTCTGTAAGTAGCTGGTACTGATGACCCTTGAGTGACAGATACTTCAACCTACTAGATACACCACCCTGTTTATGAGTGGGCAACTAATAGGCTTGACAGGACTCAGCTACTAGACATAGTTTTTTGGGACAGGACTAGGGAGACACTTCCAAGTGAGTGATAATGTTGGAGAATAACTTTTGAGTTTTGTATACAAGCGGGGTTTAAAGTGAAATAGGTCACATACACTACAAGGCACCAGATCTGTCTGATCTTGGAAGCTAGGCAAGTCAGCTCTGGTTAGGACTTTGATGAGAGACCATCAATGAATACCAAGTGCTGTAGGCTACATTTCAGAGGAAGGACCTGGCAAAAACACCTCTGAGTATTCCTTACCTAAGAAAATCCTGTGAAATTATTCAACATACACACTTAGAGACAACATCTGGATGTGAAGAGCTGCATTGGTCTCCTCTGGGACTCAAAGGATAACACCCACCATGTGTTATATTTCGTTTATTTTTAAGGGGATTAAACTAATAATTTCCCATATCCTTTTGGGCAGAAGGGAGCAATTCTGCCTTTTCAACTTCCAGTTTGCCTTCTGGTTTTGAAATGGCTTCTCTTATGCTGAACACAACCAGTCAACCCAAGGCATAGCAAAAGTATTCCCTTGTAATTTTTCTGTTTCGGGGTGTACTTTTTCTTCCCCTGCATTATAGCCTGGGCATGTTGTGTCCATTCACTCCCATCTGAGGACTCAGTGTGAATGGTGTGCATGTTTGGCCATTGCTAAGGTGGAAAGACTGGGTATAAAGCTGGTGGGTACAATGTCCACAAACTTCTGGAGGAAGGCCAGGGGTGGAGCAGCAATATCACAATTCATGAGCTCTCTTATTGCAAATTGAAGGTAGCTCTGCCAAAGAATCTAAGGCTGGCACTGAGACATAAGATCCCGAAAAGCTCTCCGCGTGCCATATCTAGTTTAGGTTTGATTCCATAGGATGGAAATTCTAGATGAAACTGTGGCAACCACTGTGGCTCTTGGGCACATCTTGCTCCCAGCCCCAAAATTCTTTGGTGCCCTTTCCATGGCTCTGGATTGCCATAATATCCAGTTGGCCATATCCTACCAAATTCTGCTCTCATATAATCTTATAGCATTTATGCTAATTCCATAAGCAGTTAAGGTTCATGGTCCATGTTCTGCTCGTTCTCCTACTATGACATCACAAGACTACACGCTTGGCCTCCAATTTTGGTCCTGAAATGGGTTGTTGTTGTTGTGCTGGCAATCCAAGGCAGTAGCCCCGATCAACAGGCTTCAAAGTAGAAGGAAAAAAGAAATGTATTTTCTGTTGTTTTCATCAGAAACCTTAGCTGCCGTTTCTCAAGGATCAACTATCTAATTGGGAAGGGGGGTGGGTGGGTTCTGAGATTGTTTAGATCAGGGGTCCTCAAACATTTTAAACAGGTCACAGTCCCTCAAACCTTTTTTTAAAAAATGAATTCCTATGCACACTGCATATATCTTATTTGTAGCGGAAAAAACCCCCACTTTAAAACAATATAATAATTAAAATGAAGAACAATTTTAACAAATATAAACTTATTAGTATTTAAATGGGAAGTGTGGGCCTGCTTTTGACTGATGAGGTAGTATCGTTGTTGTTGTGTGCTTTAAAGTTGTTTCAGATTTAGGTTAACCCTGAGCGAGGGCCGGGTAAATGACCTTGGAGGGCCGTATCCGGCCCCTGGGCCTTAGTTTGGTTTAGATTATGCTGCCTTTGGCGGGCTGCTGCATCATTATGCAAGGCTACACATTTAGACATTACCTTTGGGCGCAGATACCCACAACTTTTGAAAATGTTCTAAATGTTTCTAATGTAAAATTAAAAAATGTTGACCATTTCTGCTACCTTGACAGTCACCTCTCCACAAAAGTCAACATTGGCACTGAAATACAACACCACCTGAGCTCTGCAAGTGCAGCATTTTTCCAAACTAAGTACATAGTTTTTGAGGACCGGGACATCTGTAGGGATACCAAGGTGCTTGTGTATAAAGCTATTGTCCTCCAACCCAGCTATACCCTGAGAGACGTGGACGATCTACAGACGTAACACGCAACTCCTAGAACGATTCCATTGACGTTGCCTCAGAAAAATCCTGCAAATTTCTTGGGAGGACAGGCAGACAAATGTCAGCGTGCTGGAAGAAGCAAAGACCACCATCATTGAAGCGATGGTCCTCCGCCATCAACTCCGCTGGACCGGCCACGTTGTCTCCCAAAGAAGCTGCCCTATTCTGAACTCAAGAGCAGAAAACAGAATGTTGGAGGACAGGAAAAGAGATGTAAAGATGGGCTTAAAGCCAACCTTAAAAATGCTGGCATAGACAGAGAAAACTGGGAAGCCCTGGCCCTTGAGTGCACCAACTGGAGGTCAGCTGTGGCCAGCAGTGCTGCAGAATTTGAAGAGGCACGAATGGAGGGCAAAAGAGAGAAACATGTCAAAAGGAAGGTGCATCAAGCCAATCCTGACCAGGACCACCTTCCACTTGGAAACCGATGCCTTCACTGCAGGAGAACATGCAGGTCCACAGTCACCTACATACCCACCACCAGTATACAGATCTTGGAAGACAATCCTACTCGGACAACAAGGGATCGCCTAAGTAAGTAAGTAAACCACAACTTTTATTTCTCTGCTACTGTAGAGGGTGGTCTGTTGCAGCCACAGTTGGCACTTTGCCTCACAGCACACCCATTATTCTGGAAACATGTTTTCACGAGAGCCCTTTTGGTTCCCAGCACTTATCTGAATTTTGCTCGTTTTTGGGAAGACTTATATACAGCATGACAGATAACATGGCCAATAATGCCAATGGCCAGAATAGCAGGCTTTCTGCCTATTCACTCTACTACTCCCCCAAATAAACTCAATTGGGGAGGGGGTCAGTAATTTATACTATTCTATGGTAAGAAAAGATACAAAGTTCTTTCAAAACCATGTGACCTTTGGCTGAAATGATACAGAACTTGACTTTGCATGTGCACATAGCTCGTTCCATCTTGACGCTCAACACTCCATCTTATCCTGTCATTATCATGCAAAGACCGTGCCAAGTCTGATGCAACTCTATTAAACCATGAATTAATTTCCAGAAAGAGGAGGGAGTGGCTTGGGTGTTTCTTACTGCAGTGTCTGGCCAAGAAATTGCAATTATGTAATTAGTAGGTAACTATCATGACCAGTTGCAGACAGAAGTAATTGAGGACAAGAAAGGAGGAGGAACCTGGAAAGAAATATCCATAACAGCACGTTATGGCTGACAGTTCAGTTTGCCCCCCCCCCCCCCAAAAAAAAACAAAACAAAACCAAACAGGCAGAGAAAAACAGGCCGTAGTATCATAACTCTGTTTCTTCCTGAGGGGTGAGTGAGTATGGCCAATGTATGTTTGCAGTAGCAATAACAGGCATTTTGAACAATACCAAAGCTACAAACCATGGGTAGCAGCATTATGTACGTGAAAAATAAAAAAGCACACAGGACCCATTTCTACAGAAGGAAGTGACAGAAGACATGAAGAAATGCTATAAAAAAGGTTATTCAGTGAGAAGCCCATGTTTTGTATTGCAGAAAACTTCAATATTAACACAAATGGAGTATATAAAATGTAAATTAAATTCCAATTTTGTTATTTTAAGCATATTTCTAATGCTGTCTCCTTCATAAAGAGCAACTGTAGAAAGAGAAGGAGCAAAGATGAACTGATTAGTGTCTGTGTCTCTTACCATTTTGCCCCTCCCTGTGTCTTTCATCCTATAGATGTGATGTAAACAATCTAAGGCACCCAGGAGGGAAAAACATTTTCAAGTACATTTTACTTCCATATACCCTCTAGGGATGTGGGAAATCTTTGCCACATTTTTGGCCTCATTTGGATCATTATAGAATCAGGAAAGGTATTTCTCAAAAACTTTTGGTCACTTCTTGTTATTAAGTTTTTTTCTGGGCCTAAAAAGGTCCACCCCCCCCCCCCACTCCACCCCAATTACAGGCAACTTGCCCCACGGATGTTTAGTTCATTTGAGGTAAAAAAAAATCTGCCAGATTGTGTGTGGGAAGATACTGTACAGTCCTTTAAGGTCTTCTGAGGAACTAATATGGCCTCTAGCCTCCCAGTTGTCCACCCTTGCAATAGATATTACGGAACTACGAAAATTAAACAAATACTTTTGTATGTTCTATCATTTGTTGTTTATTCATTGAGTCGCTTCCTCTAACTCTTGGTGACCTTATGGACCAGTCAACACCAGAGCTCCCTGTCAGCCGTCACCACCCCCAGCACCTTCAAGGTCAAGCCAGCCACTTCAAGGATGCCATCCATCCATCTTGCCCTTGGTTGGCCCTTCTTCCTTTTTCCTTCCATCTCCCCCAGAATCATTATCTTCCCCAAGATTTCCTGTCAATGTTCTATACTAGTATGACAAAAATCTAATCTAGGAATCGGCATATATGCATAATATGTGTGCTCATTCTTGGGGTTGAATTGGGAAGAGAGGCTTTCAAGCAATTTTGTGTGTGTGTGATTTCAGTTTGGTACATGGATGGGATTAATAAACTAGACCTATAGATCAATCCTGTGGGAGAAAAATACTGGTGTTCTTTATCTTGCTCACAAAGCAAAAAGAGGGATCTTTTTATTTTAAATAATCCTTTACAACACTTTCTTTAGCTTTTAATTTGCTTGCCACTGCTCTCAATAGGATAGTTAATATTCTTATCTTCACATTCAGTCTCTCTTACCACATCCCTTGGCTCATCTAATTTTTGTTCCAATGATGGAATCACAATAAAGCATTTTCACATAGAAGTAAGGCATGTGTGAAGTCTCCCTCTGGAAGGACTTTTCTCTCTCTCTGCCTCAGAGACGAAGACCTGAAAGATTATATATCCCCAGAATGTCCTGCCAGGAAACAATGAATTGTGCCAGAGATTAATATCTTTGTATGATCTTAAAAACAATTTGACATACAGATGTTACCGTTATACTCCTTAAAACAGACAATTAAGAATAATTGGAATTTTGACTAATTTTTACCATGAGAAACAGGGTTAAGAGGCATTTGCTCATGCTCTGCCTGAGCCAGTGTCATACTTTAGAGACCTGAGGTTTATAAAGAAGGTTTTTCTATGAGTATATACAGTTGGCTCTCCATATGTATGGAGTCAACCATCTATGGCTTGAGCTGATGCTTTTATTATTGTTATTATGTTTATTTTACCCCACTTTTTGCTACACAAAGGAGACTCAAAGCAGCTTGAATATCTCCCCATCTGCAAAAAATCTAAAGAGCATATTTTGATTTTGCCATTGAATATAAGAGACCATTTTACTACACCATTGCAGATAATGGGACTTGAGCATCTACAGACTTTAGTATCAACACAGGAGACCTGGAACCAAATAGCAGCAGATACTGGTACAGAATCATAGAGCAGGAAGAGATCATTAGGGCCATCCAGTTCAACCCCATTCTGCCATACAAGAATACACAATCAAAGCACTCCTGACAGATGGCCATCCAGCCTCTGCTTAAAAACCCCCAGAGGAAACTTATCAAGCTCCAAGACAGCACATCCCACTGCCAAACAGCTCTTACCATTAGGAACTTCTTCCTAATGTTTAGGTGGAATTTCTTTCCCTGCAAGTTGAATCCATTGCTCCTCAATGTGGCATCCTTTGAAATATTGAAACATGGCAATCATGTGCCCTCTCAATCATCTTTTCTAAAACAAGTAAACATATCCAAATAAAATGTACAAAACCACCAGCACACTCTATCTCCTAACAACAGATACAACTGTTATACATTTAATCAGATTTTATTTCACACAAGACTTAAAAGTGGTGTGAATTGAGCAACATTTCAGCAAATCTCCTGCTGAAAGAAGCTTCATAGCAGAAGATACTTTAGGTTTTCACTCGATCTGGAACAGAGAGTCCTCGACTTCAGCTCTTGTAGTTATGGAGCTACATCCTTCAAATTGAAAGTCAAAGTAGGAGGGAATTCCACCAAATATAGCCATTTTGGCTCCTGATGTCCAGACACCACAGGAAAGCAAGTCCTCATTAAGAATTTTTTGTAATGTTAGGGAACCGCCTCAGTATTTTGTTGACTTGTTGAGAAGTAAGATTTCCTGATAGGCCAAGGGACTCTTGGCGAATTTTCTCCTTGCGTTCTGCCTAAAAAAGAATGCAAATAAAATACTTTTACTTTTTAAAATGCAAATCCTACTATTTTTTCCAATGACAGAAACATCAGCACCTGGACACTTAGAGATAGCTACAAATGGTTGAGTCAGTGCAGTAAGAAGCAAAAATATACTCTTTTTTTCTTTAAAACAGTTAAAATTAACTATGATCAAAATCACTGTCTATTTCTCGGAACAGAAAGTTGTATATGCTCGAGATATCATGCAAGTGTACTTAGCTGCACACTATGTCTACTCAGTTTCCTGTTAATATCTGTTTCTTCACTAGGAAAAAGGGGGATTATAATTTTCTAAGAATAAAATAACTGACAAAACAGAACATCTGACATGATGACTATGAAGTGTGTGTGTTATATACAAACAACTTTAATTGGGTGCAAATAAACTGATATTATCTTTGAACCCTATGAAAAACAATTACCGGAACACAATAACTATTGTTTTGAAATCTGTCTGCTTCCCTAAACATATTTATGTTTACTTGTATAATTTAATGGAACAAAGGGCACTGTCATAAACTAGCTGAATACAAAGAAAAGAATACTACTCTATGTAAACAGAGCAAGAGCACAGATGGTGACAGCTATTGCAGTACCCTGCTGTTTGTTTTCCCATCAAGAGAATCTGCTGTCCTGTATCTGCAGCAAGTGCAAGTTACTGAGCCGAAGATACAGTAGCTGCTCTGTTGGAGAAGCTGCAGCACACTATCTTTGCTCTTTGACTTATCAGGGAGGATGAAGCTTTTCGGTAAAGAGTGGAGCAGGCTCTCCAGGGAGGACAACAATTTCTACACACAAGAGGAAAATACTTGCAATAATATAACAAGCAGTAACTGTAGAATTAAAATATGGGGACTCCCTACTGTGCTCTAATATAGCAATGAGTAGTGATGACACATAGAGACATTGCACACTCCAATTATCTACGGAAACTAGTATTATGATGCTTAAGGAGAGGTAGATTAAAGTGCAATTACTTCTGCCTTTGCTGCACAGTCATAGAACGTCTGGATCTCCCGGGCACAAGCTATGTCACTGAACTCATTCTGTTTCCAACAGGCCATCATTAAGGACATCTCTGTGATACATGTTGCCTCTGTAGAAGAAAGAAAACATACTATTCACAGGTCGTTCAGAATAGCAACAAATCTATTTACCCGTATATTCCGACATATAAGACGACTGGGAGTATAAGATGACCCCCAACTTTTCTAGTTAAAATATAGCATTTGGGATACATTCACCGTATAAGACTACCCCTCTTCCAATGCACACCAAATACATTTTTTTAAAAGCATCAGATTTGATTTCAATATGGTAATTCTACGATTACTGTACCTCCTTCTCTGCCTTTCAGATCTCACACATACGCACCTTCAGGAGTGAGATCTGACAGGCAGAGGAAGAGGTATGGTAATAGGATACAAGGGCAGGCCAGACAGGTAAAAGTTGTGTTTTTCTGGGCCCAGAGCCACTCTACCTCATTTTTCCATAGCCCGGGCACCCCGGAAGCCTGCAAATTGCTCCGCCCTTCACTTACACCTTCCCGGTGAGGCGCCCCTTCACTTCACCATCGGGATCACATTAAGTCCACGAATCCTGATGAATGGATTTTCTTCTACTGTACTTGTACAGTGTCGCCCTTAATGCTTTCACACAGTCGCTGCATATGGCAGGGACACGGCCATTGCCATTTTTGAGCTCCCCCCACAATATGTGGCAACCACAGATTCTCCAATCCGATTGGAAGTTTGAGCACCCGCTCTATAAGATGACTCCAGTGTATAAGACGACCCCGTGTATAAGACGACTCCTGACTTTTGAGAAGATTTTCTTGGGTTACAAAGTACTCTTATACACCAGAATATACGGTATTTATTATTTATTTATTTGCAATATTTGTATACCGCCCTTCTCAACCCCGAAGGGGATTCAGGGCGGTTCACAGTGTTGGCAATAATTCAATGCCATCGATAAAAACAGTATAAAACATTAAAATTGACCCTCCCCTAATAAAACATTAAACATTATTAAACACGTAACATAAAATAACATCACCTATCACAGAGACATAGCTATTGTCGTAAACAGTCCTGGGTCATTGCACTTTCAACTTTCTCTTTAACTTTAAATATTCCTACGATGGGCCGAACGCTTGGATTCACAGACAGGTCTTTAGCTGTCTCCTAAAGGTCAGGAGGGAGGGGGCTGATCTGATCTCACTCACTTTTAATTGCTGTATTTCAGTAGTACTACCAAGTCAATACAGAGTCTATGGTAAGGTATACTATGGGGTATAGTATTAGTTAAGACTTTTTTATAGTAACTTTCAAACAACTGGAAACTACATTTATCTAGCATCTACCAATTCCTATGAATGCCAGTTAACTGAGAGTCTATTGTACTTCCAAATATATTTCAATCAATGTGCTTAAAAAAACAAAAACAAGTAAACAGGAAAGAGTCTCAGAAGCCTGTACCAAGAGTTTTGATTCTCCGAGGGGTTTTATACAGACAAAATTGTTGAAAATAAACAGACATAACTGCAGGAAACACCAGCTTTTTTCTACCAGCTAGAGAGAATTTTTATTATAGTCAGCTTATGGTTTTCCACTTTATTCCAGTTTTACAAATACTGAGGGAACAATTGACATTTTTACAGTGTTCCTACTGAGGAATTTATTCCCTCTGTCTATTGGCCATAGACAGCATTTGGCCTCAGGAGTACCATACAAGGTGAATTATTCAAACAAACATTCCTATTTCAACAGTGTGAATGCATGTGAGTGCACACATATGTCTGACCACTAATTTTTAATGACCGAGACTGCAAAGAAAATATTTTTGCAAAACCTTAATTCACCTAAAATGCATAATATATGTTACATCTGAATGTAACTCAAACTAGTTAGTACAATGGATAACAACTTAATTACAGCAGTTGCTACTCTCTTATGGCAGGTAAAAAGTTAAAGTAATTAGACCGTATTGAGAAAAGCCTCTATACTTATACTTTTCTAGAGGTTTCGAGACGAGAGTCTGAATGGTCATATGTTGGGAATACTTCAATTGCGTTCTTCTGCATGGAAGGTTGGACTGTATGGCCATTGTGGTTTCTTCCAACTCTTTCTTTCTATGATTCTGTGATATCTGATACTTTCTAATAAACAGTCAAAGAGCCAATGATTGGCTAATTCCAATCTCTGTTACTCAGGCAAGAGAACAGACGCCAAATCGACTACATAAACACCACTTTCAGCTAGGGCAAGGTTCCTGCCAAAGCTACTCAGCTCTAGAAACATTCCCTTTTCAGCTCTGTGCAGGCACAACTTTGTTTGTACAAGGCGTAAAAACAGAGAAAAGTTCCACATACTCTAAGTTTATAAGCTCTAGCCAGTTGTTAATCGTGACATTTTTTTTACTGTTCAAGCAACCTGTTTACCAATTTGAGTAAATATGAACCAGATCATATCGGAACGTTACAGGCAATCTACTCCCTGGGCATATGAGATGCATCCATTATTCTGTGCTTTGTTTTTCTGATGGAATAAACTTAGTGCAAGCAAGAAAATCTATTTCTGCAATACTTTGAAAGTTAAGTCATTCCACTATTGTGATGCCAGTCACTTCAAAATGTTCAACCTGATTTGGAACCCATTTAATCCAACTATGTACACCCTCCACTTTCCATCAAGATGAATGCACCATCATCACCCACTCAGGAAAATGAAATAGTTAAGATTAACAAGACAACAAGGGATGCATATTTTGCACATTCGTGAAAGACAGCCATGCAAAGATCAAACAACTTTTTGATACTTTCAAAATCTGTCAGACCAATTCATGCACTTATATCCATGAATTATAACGCATAAACTGTTGTCCTCAGCTGGCAAATACATTTGCAAATCTGGCAGATGTACAGAGGTATAAATACTTTACTGCTCAGTATCTGAGTATTTTGGTCTCACTGTTTTCTACCTCTCTCCATTGCAATTGTTGTATATTGAACTCATTGAGAATGTTTTGGCACCTGTGTGCAGGGAATCCCAGGTTCAGACCTTGGCATATTTTTTTCTTTGGTTGCGTCAGGACAACAAGGCTGAAATTTTCTCCTGAACCCTCGAAAAGTGAGAGTAGTTGGAGGCTGCCATACAGGGCTGAACTCTTCAAGGTTCAGATAAAGCAACTGTAACTGCGTTATAATGATCATAATTTGTAAGCAGACTTCGGTTCAGGCAGTCTCCAAGTTACAAACATCCAATTTACAAATGATTCATAGTTAAGAATGGAAATGAGATAACAGGAGTGAGAGAAATCTACCTCTAGGAAGGAAAATTCATTCCTGGAAGAGTAATCGTGGGAAAAGGTGTCTCCATGGAAGCTTTCTCACCAATCCTTGTTTCCACAACAAGCCAAATTTTTCAAAATCCAATTATTACAGGGACAGAAAGTAAGATGAAATCTTCTGAACAGGTGCACAGATAGCAAAACAAACTCCACAGGGGTGTTAACCCTTCCCTATGCTCTCCAAAGCTAAATAAACAATGTGTATATAAAGTCTCTTTACTATTTAATTGTACACATTTTTAAATGGTAAAGAGACTTTATGGACACCCTGTATATATTTGGCTGGAGTTACATTTCAAAATTTACCTATTTCAACTTGCATAAAAATTCAGCTTAAGAACAAATTTACATAATCTTTCTTGTTCGGAACTTGGGGACTGGCAGTAGTTGCAGTATTAGAATTGCAACGAACACTTCTGATGAAGCACCCACAAAAGCTGCTCAGAGAACCATACAGTTGATAGAGACCACGTGATCATCTAGTCTAACCCCCAGCCATGCAGGAAAAGTACAACTAAAGTATCCTTGACAGATGGTCATACAGCACCTGTTTAAAAGCCTCCAAAGAAGGAGCTTCCACCACATCACATTGAACTGAGTTATATGGCAGTGTGGACTCATAACCCAGTTCAAAGCAGAAATTGTGGATTATCCACCTTGTTATTCTGGGTTATATGGCTGTGTGGAAGGGCCCTGAGGCAGAGGCAGCAGAAAGGAGGTGCTAGAAATAATATCATACAAAAGATGACTGGCTCAACCTGGGGATCACAACCAGATACAGTGAAGACATCTACCCTTGCACTTTGCTACTCTGCTGCTGAATATGCATGCTCAGTATGGATTACATTTCACCATACTGTTAGTGGTTTTTAAAAACTTTGTTTGTGGTTTTTTAAAATACATTATAACTGTATCCTCAATTTGCTTCTGACATGATAAATAAATAGCAAGTATGCCCATGCAATATGTAGGGAGTGGAAACTGTCAGGCGTGTCCTTTTACAATGTCACTTCTACAAGGATATTAAATCTGTTTTAATTACTCTCAATGTACAGATGATCCCTGGCAGAAATGAAGAATATTATCTAAAACATCATGTAGAGCAGGCATGGGCAAACTTAGGCCCTCCCAGTGTATTGGACTTCAACTTCCACAATTCCTAACAGTCGGCTGTTAGGAATTGTAGGTGTTGAATTCTAAAACACTGAGAGGGCCTAATTTTGCCCATGCCAATTATCGAGGATAGGGGCCCATCGATCACTTATAGCGTGGCTAAGTTTTGTTGCAGTTCCTATAAAAACAAGGAAGCAGTTTGTGGATGAGAGGCTGTTAGGAATTGTGGGAGTTGAAATCCAAAACAGTGCAAAGGCCAAAGTTTGCCAATGCCCATTTAGAGGATAGGGACCCATCCATCACTTATAGAGTGGCCAAGTTTTGTTGTGGCTGCTATAAAAATAAGGAATCAGTTTGTGGATGATTTTAGAAGAAAAAGTTTTAACTTCCTCACTTTATCATCCATACCCACAGATTTTATAAGTGTCATATAGCACAGGTTATATGCTTCAAGATTACATTATGGGTAAGAAAAATAAATACATTAATAGATATCCTAGGGGGAATGGCAAGGCAAATGGGAAGAACCAATAGCCAAGACAAAGGGAAATAGAAAATACAAAGAACTGAGCCAGACTATCCTTAAAAAGGTAAAGGTTTCCCCTGACATTAAGTCTAGTCATGTCCGACTCTGGTAGGGTGGTGGTAATCTCCATTTCTAAGCCAAAGAGCCAGCGTTGTCCATTGATGCCTCCAAGGTCATGTGGCTGGCATGACTGCATGGAATGCTGTTACCTTCCTGCAGAAGCGGTACCTATTGATCTACTCACATTTGCATGTTTTCAAGCTGCTAGGTTGGAAAACGATGATGCTGGGGAAAATGAAAGGAAAAAGGAAGAGGAGCCGACCAAGGGCAAGATGGATGGATGGCATCCTTGAAGTGACAGGCTTAACTCTGAAGGAGCTGGGGGTGGTGAGGGCTGACAGGGAGCTCTAGAGTGGGCTGGTCCATGAGGTCACGAAGAGTCAGAAGCAACTGAACGAATAAACAACAACAGGTTGGCAGAAGCTGGGGCTAACAGCGGGAGCTCACTTTTGCTCCCTGGATTTGAACCACCAATCTTTTACTAAGTTCAGCAGCTCAGCGGTTTAACCCGCTGCGCCAGAAGGGGGCCTTATCCTTATGATCAAACAAACAGAATGAACTATATGTACGACTGTTCCCGGAGGGAGGGGTTGAAATAGGAGGGGAAATCAAAGGAAGTTTTACACTCCTGGTCTGAGACTGTAATAATATTAATTCAATCATGTCCAACTGGGTACTCAGTAATAATAACTAGCTGTCCCCTGCCACGCGTTGCTGTGGCCCAGTCTGTTGATCTGGAAAATAAAGTAATGAGAAAGTGTTGGTTTCTAATATGTAATGTCTTTCTGCTTGTGGGTAAACAGTATTTCTTGCTGTTTCTTTGTCAGTGTTGATGTGGAGAGTGTCTGGTTTGCCTACCCTGGAATATGCAACATATCATTGTCCTTCTTGAAGGGTCTCTTTCAAATCTATGATACTGTATCTGTGTGTATGTGAATCACATCTATCTATCTATATCTATGGCTGCATGGCTCTTTGTCAGGAGGGCTTTGATTACGTTTTCTTGCCCTGGTGAAGGGAGTTGGACTGGATGGCCTTAAGTATTTTCTGTTGGTCGTGTGTGTTCTGTGTGGGAAGTTTGCCACTATTCCGTCATTCGTGGGGTTCAGAATGCTCTTTAATTGTAGGTGAACTGTGAATCCCAGTGACTACAACTTCGAAATGTTAAGGCCCATTTCCCCCAAACTCCATCTGTGTTCATATTTGGGCGTATTGAGTGCTTGTGCCAAGTTTGGTCCAGATCCATCATTGTTTGAGTCCACAGTGCTCTCTGGATGTAGGTGAACTACAACTCCCAAACTCAAGGTTAATGCCCACCAAACCCTTCCAGTATTTTCTGTTGGTCATGGGAGTTCTGTGTGCCAAGTTTGGTTCAATTCCATCGTTGATGGAGTTCAGAATGCTCTTTGATTGTAGGTGAACTATAAATCCCAGCAACTACATCTCCCAAATGACAAAATCATAATTTTTGAGTGATGGTCACTCCTTGTGTTGTGAGACGTTTTGTTGCCAAATTTGGTGTGATTTCGTTCATTGGTTCTTTTGTTTTTAAGGTACTCATTATGCACAGAGCATTTTTATATAATACAAGTAAATAATAATAATAATAATAATAATAATAATAATAATTAATAATAAGCTTTATTTATACCCCACCACCATCTCCCCAGAGGGGACTTGGGGCGGCTTACACAAGGCCAGGCCCAACAGTACATTACAACAAAATAAAACCAAAATAACAAAACAAACATCACAATTAAATAAATAAAAACATAAGAATGCAATAAAATACAAAATAGTACAATGCAAAATCAACCCCAAAAGACTCTAATCTTGCTCTCCACCCCAAATCCTGGCCCAACTCCCAAACCACGGCCCTCATAATAACAGCAGTAGCAGTCAGTGAGCGAGGAGGAGAGGCTGGCTGGAGGCCTCTCCCGGTCTCCTTCCTCTCCCTGCCACACTCAGAGGACACCGTGAGCCTGTCAGCCTGGGAGGCGGCGCAGGGCCTTGTCCTCTCCGGTGGGCCCAGGCGGGAGAGAAGCGAAGCCTACCTCCCTGCCTCAGGCGCCGGTTGGAGACCTGGTTGGCCAGCACCAGGGGCCGAGGGAACTTCTTCGTCGCCGCCTTCCCCCGGGCCTTGCTCAGTTGGGTTAAGGCGCCCACACAGGAAGGGATGGGAGGCCGGGAGGCCGCCATGCCGACCCTTTCGGGGTATCCAGGGGGAGCCGGAAAGCAAACCCAGAGCCGGAAAGGCGCTGCCGCATTACAGCAGTGTCGCAAAGAGTGTCCTTTGAGTTCAGCTGTTTCTATGCAAGCAAGGAATTAGCAATGCTGCCTCTATCAGTTCTATAGAACATATCCAGTTCGATTTGCTATTGCTTTTTTATTTAGATAAAGACCTAACTTAATTCAAATCCCAGGAAAACATTGCTCTATAACTAATTTCTTCTTGAACAAGAGTTCAAATATTTTATTTCACTAAGATTGCATTAGGTGGTATCTGATCTTCATTAATACATCATCATATTCATTCAAACAGAATACACAGGTACAATAAAAACTGTAAAGATAAGTTTACAAGGTGTCTCACTGACATATTTAAGTAAAAAGAAAATACTTAAATCCAGATTTATTTTCCTCTCCACACTAGAAGCGCAGTGGGTTAAACTGCTGAGCTGCTGAACTTGCTGACTGAAAGGTCGCAGGTTCGAATCTGAGGAGCAGGGTGAGCTCCCGCTGTTAGCCCCAGCTTCTGCCAACCTAGCAGTTCGAAAACATGCAAATGTGAGATCATAGGTACCACTCCGGTGGGAAGGTAACGGTGCTCCATGCAGTCATGCCAGCCACATGACCTTGGAGGTGTCTATGGACGTCGGATCTTCGGCTTAAAAATGAAGATGAGCACCACCCCCCAAAGTCAGACACGACTGGACTTGATGTCAGAGAAAACCTTTACCTTTTAACCTAAACTCTGGTAAATGCCATAGCCGTACCAGTTATCTAAAGAATTGATTATTATAACATTTAATTTCCCTTCAGTCTTTTTCTGAAGCTCTTTAGGCATATCTCATTGCCTGATTAATCCTTTACCCCCTTAGTCTAAATAGGCAACTTTAGTGGGTGAGATGGGAGGGGCCCCCTGCCCAAACCCGCTACATGCTTTCTACGTTGCTACGAAGAATTTTGGCAGCTGCACTGTTAAAACAAGCAAGAAAATCTTGTTTCAAGTGTTTTTACTAGTTTGCCGACATATTTGGTAACTTGGCTTGCTACCGAATTTCAACAGGGTTGTTTGAGGGGGTCTGGACTCAAACATCCTTGGGACACAAAGCTTTAAGCATTAAAGAACTATGTACACTGTTACTTCTAAAGTGGAGAATCAATAGTACCTTACAGAAATGTACATGTACAAGATTTTGCATTGTACCGTCAGCCCTTGGTACCTGTTGGAGTTTGGTTCCAAGACCCCTCATGGATTCTTGTATCTGTAGATATTCAAACCCTCTTATATACAATGATATAGTAAAATGATGTCCCTTATATTATGATGTCCCAGATATATTCCCTCAGCTAATCAAGATTTTCTTGAACCTCTTGATGTCAGGAATAAATCCATGTTAGGGCTCTTTCAAGTGCAGAATAATGATCAAATTTATTAATATTGCTAAATAGACCGAGGCATTATCCATTTTACTGAACAACTTTTTATTTATTTCATGTCAAAAGCATTGCATAAATAAGTATAAAACTGATAGAGGAAGCACAAGTGGCTAAATTTTAGACCAAAAACAGGCAACAGTGACTGCAGTTCTTCCTCTGTGCATGAGGCAGAGCACTGTGGACAAGCACACAGATGTGGAGTTGTTTGTTCTCCTCCACAGTCATACCAGGTGGAGGATTCTTTTAGGTAGTGCCATTTTGCCAGGTTGTCTTTTGATCTGTCCACTCCACTTCTGAGTCTCTTCGGGGACTTCCAAGTTGCCCATTCTTGGTTTGCCCCTGGAGAAAAACCCTCGGGGGGGGGGCATCCATATGGGGTTTCCTAGTTTAGCTGCCCACAGGGATACCCTTGCTGTTGCTGGGTGAACATGAAGAGGAGTGGTGGTTCTCATGAAGCTATTCCTTGATTTGAGTCTGCTGGGGGGGGGGGGGGCTGATAGCCATGCAATGGGTGGCTTTCACAGTATTCAACCTTATCTCTCTCCCAGTTAGCAGCAACTTCCCATCGCACATCACGAGGGGCAATGCCAGCTAGTTTGTAGAGTATCAACATATGTAGGTTTAAGACATCCTGTGATTATTCTGCATGCTTCGTTCAGTGCTATATTCACCTGCTTCACGTGAACAGACTTGTGCCAAACAGGGCAGACATACTCAGGAGTTGAGTAAGACAAGGCCAGGGCTGATGTTCTTAAAATGTTTGGGTCTGCACCCCATGTACTGCCAGTAAGTTTCTGCAGGATGTTATTACGTGCAGCTACTTTGTGCTTGGTGTTCACGCAGTGTTTCCTAAAAGAACAACTGATTAGTAGGAAGCATGAACAAAATAAGAAGGCCAGACTGTGAATTGGAAAAAAATGCACATCTGGGGACAGAAAAATCTTTTATTCTATTGAAATGTTTTCATTTGCATTAGCACCAGTTTTCACTGTTTATGACATATCAATGTTGAATACTTATGAAAAGGAGAACTATTTAAAATGTCTTCCATGTCTGTTAGGCACTGTTTAAAGTGGTTTTATAAAAATATAAATATAATACTTAATAAAACATTGCTCAAAAGACAAAATACTAAATGTTTTTCTTTGGCCCAAAAATGGAGTTTCACCATTTGAAAAAATAGCAAATGATGCAATAGCAAAATCTGGTACAAAATTGGACTCTGAGCCTTAAAAACGTCGTCTCAAAATTAGAAGACTATATAAAGGATTCTTTCCAAGATATCCAAGAACTCTGGTTTCAGTGCTAGTAAGATTCTGTGTATTTTGTTCATCATGATTGGCTGGGGTTTGGACTGGATAGCCCATGAGGTCTCTTCCAACTTTGATTCTATCATTTCATCTTCACGTGGATTAGAATAGCTGTCATTTTTCTGATTAATTTGGAAATACTTAACTGGTATAAAGTCAGTTTTGCTGAGTTCGCTTCATGAATATTTTATGCATGTAATCCCAAAATCTGTCTTGATTTGATTCGTTGTGGTGAATCATAGCTGTGAGGGCTTCACCTTGATCAAGACCCTGCCAGTAATCTTCTAGCCACATTTCTTTCCAGCTGAAATATACAAAAAGAAAATAAGTACAATAGACTTGCATAGCCACCTTTCTCCAAGATGGAGAGAAACTGCAAACGTTTGTACTGTAAGAATATAAACTAAACTAATGTGACAAAGTAAGTGGAACAGGATGCTCAAAACACTATCACATTACAGAAAGATGTCATTCTTCCGTGTATGGGTGCCTTCAAGTTGCCTGTCGAGCTACGGCTATCCCATTAATTCCATGGGGTTTTCTTAGGAAAGGAATACTTAGAGGTGGTTTTACTAGTTCCTTCCTCAAAAACACAACCTACAGCACTTGGCATTCTTGATGATCTCTCATCAAAGTACTAAGGATGACCCTGCATAGCTTCTAAAATCAGACAGGATTTTTAGATAATTTTGCTCATCCCTCTGCTTTCGCATTAATACCGGGAAACATCTGCTCAGGATTTCGCCAGTCTGGAGCCTCAGTTAAAAAAAGAAAAGAACCAATAATAAAAGCAAGCAAATCTGGGATTGGAGTAGATTTGGATGCCTTAGTAATTCACCTATGCCAGGAACTGAACAGGAGGAATGTGTTCCTGTTGTTTTGCTGTACTTCTCAGACATATAATGCTATGGTATTCCTTCTTGACTATTTAGCTGATATAGGACAGTGGATACAACACTTCTCAACTGAATGTTTCCAGATGATGGTGCTGGATGACTACTATTCAGACTCTGGGCTATTTGCTTATGAAGTTTTATACACTGTCTTATGTGTGTTTTATATATATATATGTATGTATACACACACACACACATGAAGTTGGAAGGCGGAAAGTCAGAGTTTTGGCTGTGGATCTCATCAATAGACTTTCTCTCCCTTGTTTACACCAGATACACAGGAGTTTGTGGACTTCATGGATCAATGCATCAAAAGGCTGGATGAGGGTGAACAAACTGAGTTTCTATAAAGACAAGGCAAAAATTCTACTGATCAGCGATAATTTAATATGAACAAACGGTGACTATTTATGTGAAAGAGAGATCAAGTGGCAAAGACCTGGGACATTTTACATTTCTTCCATTTCTTTCTCATTACAGTTTTTTTACACATTTCCTGATAATAATAAAACTTTATTTATATACCGCTCTATCTCTCCGAGGGGGACTCAGGGCGGTTTCCAAGTAACACCACTGAAACATACAAAGTAAACAGCATAAAATTAACAAAACTAAGTAAGCATAAAATTATCACAATAATAGATGTATATTAAAAGTAATCCTGCCTAAGACTGTGTGCTTTAGCAATTCTAGATCACTGTGCCTTCTTGTGCTCTGAAGTACGTATGTATGATCTATTATCCCCATTTGAATTTAACGTCAAATGTCCCCCTGTCCTTAGAATAGTGGCAGCCCTCCTCTGTTTTTTTTTTTTTTTAACTTACCAAGTATAGCTTTTTTTCAGATACTGGCAGATGGGAGGACCATTGAGACATGAGAAGATAGCACATCCTGACTCTCTATGGCCAATCTCTGATAATTGAGAATGAGGGGGACATACTGATTCTCTTGTATCCTAGGTCACATCTATGGGCATTTCACTCATATAAAAATAATGCAAACACATAGGTTATGACAATCTCATGAGAGTAGCAATTTCAAGAGCATCATCACAATATTATTACAGAATGGCAGACAAAAAGAGCTGAGGAACATTGCTTTCTAGTGCACTCATTGCTAAACTGAGATCCAATCTGAGTCATAAGCTGCGATCCAATCTGAGTTATAACAATCTGGATCAGAAGCAATAAACACACATCTCAAAATCAACATCACAGAAAATAAAATAGAATAAAACAACCTGCTGTCTCTGAATATGTATGTCTATTACCCTTGAGGAAGAGAAGCAAACTCGAAACATTGACAACTTTCTGGGGAAAATGAGTAATTTATCACACCCTTAAATGTTTATTGCTTATTTCTTTAGAGCTTAGACATGAATGAGAGTTCCAGATCATGAGTCATATTAAGAGTCATAAGAATTGGAAGAGACCGCAAGGGCCGTCCAGTCCAACACACAATAAAAGCACTCTCAACAAATGACCATTTGGCCTCTCCTTAAAAACCTCCAGGAAAGGAGACTCCACCATGCTCCGAGGCAGCCTATTCTGCTGCCCAGCAACTCTTCCTAATGTTCAGGTGGAATCTGTTTTCTTACAATTGGAATCTATTGCTCTGCGTTCTAGTCTCTAGAGAATACTATATTGCATCAATTTTGTGTTTTTCTCTCTGGCTATATGGACATATGAAGGTTAGGTGGCTTCTTAGTACAGTTTTGTTATAGATTTCATAAGATTTTGAAATGTTACAATTAAAGTTTCGTGTTTTATTGAAACACTCAATAATACTGTCACAACACTGAGGTATTTAGCTTTATTACAGATGATAACAATAAATAGTACCTGTCTCCAGGAGGAATGTCCTCAATGTTTCCATATCCAGGTGCAGGTGGAGGGCATCCCATGTGTGTGAACTCAGCTATCGTAGGTTCAGGAGCTGGCAGTTTCCCTTTAGTCCTCTTATGGTTTCTTTCTGCATCAAGTCTGGCATTTTCCCTGTCACAGACAAAGCACTCAAATCCATTCAGATAATTAGGCAGTGTCATGTCATTCACTCCCCATTCACGCTTTGCCATAGTCTCCAGCAAGAACTGGTTTTTAATACCACCTGGACTCTTGTACTCTAAATATTTCAAGTACTCATCTGGATTCCTATCCAAGAAGTCAATATATTCTGCTAGCTCTTTAGGGCTTCCAAAGTCATCAATGAGAATGATGGAATGGTCATCAGGCATCCAGTCTCGTACTGAAGGTGAGCCTCGATAGACCGGGACAGCTCCAACGTGCATCGGCCGCCACAGTTTCTCTGTCATGTAATCTTGGCATATGGCATTCTCCATAGCCAAGTGAAACTTGTACTGAGAGATAAGAGCCATGAATTCAGAGTCCTCGGTAGTGGCTGTAGAAGTGTCTCTCAGCCTCATACTGGGAAGCTCCCGATTGTTCAGGCATTTACCATAAGAGTCCACCTACAATAGCAATAATTGTCTTTTTAAAAAATAGCTTTTGCTCCTACCCCTCAACTAACACAAGTATTTTTTTTTTACCAGAAATAGTTCTGGAATATTTCTTTGCTGAGGAAAGATTGCTTAAGAAAGAGAAGCAGCAGCTAGAAAAACCCAGTGGATTCTATGTTTGTTTCCCTCACCTCATTCAATCCCCACATAGGTGATCATCTATTAGTAACAAAACCCATTACATTTTCTCCTGCACATATTTTATACACAGAAACCTTCATACATTAAGTCTGTAGTAATAGAAGATAGTAGCAATTGAAAAATATAGATAACAATGTCCTCCGCATTCCAAGCCACCCCCAGGGCCCAAGTTTGCCCAGGCCTGCGAGCCTAGCGCCCTGAGCCTCACCTGGATGTACTTCATGAGCTCCTGGGCGAAGCGGTCTCGGTCGGAGGGGACGTGGCAGTGGGACTGGACGTAGAGGAGCGGGGCGAGGCCGGCCTGGCGGAGGCGCTGCTTCTCCGGGAGGCCCAGGGCGGGCGGGCGGCGCAGGTAGTGGAGGTCGGGCAGCCACTGGAGGGTGAGCGGGTAGTGGGACTCTCGGCGGAAGGTGGCGGTGTGGTTGAAGAGGGCTAGGCCGGCGGCGTGCGAGAGGAGGTAGTTGTTCATGGGCGACTCCTCGTGGAAGAGGGCCCAGGCCTGGTGGGGCGCGCGGGGCAGCGGCGCCTCGTACGCCCGGAAGTCCGTCCCGTAGAAGAGCAGCGCGCGCGTCCGGCGCAGGCCTCGCGCCCGGCGCCGCTTGGTGCTGAGGCAGGATCCGCGCGCGCAGTCGATGCGCTGCGTGTCGCCCGGGAAGTGCGGGAAGAGGCTCCCGCTCCACCACAGCAGCACCGGCAGCTCTGCGTCGCTCCGACGGTCCTCGTTGCCGGGGCCTCGGAAGGAGGGCACGGAGGACGCCGCTGCAAAGAGCCCCGGGTGCGGCTCCGAGGGGCGGAAGAAGGCGGCGGGGCCCTCCTCCTCCTCGAGCTCTCCCAGCTCCAGCCCCGTCTCGTTCAGGGCCCCGCCGAAGCAGAGCAGGGGCAGGAGGAAAGCCAAAGGGCCCATGCTGCCTGCCCCGCTCTCCCGCCGCTTCTACTGCCTCCCACCCAGCAGCCCTCGCGCTGACCTCAAGCCCTGGCCAGATCCCTCCTCGTTTCCATCTCTGTGGAGGAGAGGAGAGGCATCCCTCTGGAGGTTGCCAGGAGACCAAAAGGGCCCGCCCACAACTGTAAAGCTAACATTTTAAGCAGACCTTTCCTCACAGTCCTATGTCCCAGTATATCAAGGCAGAAAATCCCACAATACCTGCTTTGAACTGGGTCATCGGAGTCCACACTCAGATAATGTGGGATTTCCTGCCTTAATATTCTGAGATAACATGATGGTAACAGTCTTGGCTCCCAAAGTGACCCATTTAAGTTGGAATCAGGTGTCAAACAAGGATGTGTTATTGCCCCAACCTTATTTTCCACCTTCATCGCTATGATACTTCACCTTGTTGATGGAAAGCTTCCCACCGGAGTAGAAATCATCTATCAGATAGATTTTTTTTTTTCATGTCAGGAGCAACCGCTCCTGTTGTGAGAGAATTGGCCGTCTACAAGGACTGTAGCCAGAGGTCGTAGAGGACTGCCGGAGATAATTGAAGCTCTTTAATCATCTTTTGTGCGGCCCCCCCCCTCCTTAGCGTAAGGGAGAGGCTTCCTACAAGTCCACCGCCCATGCAGAACGCTGCGAGACTAATAGAGGCGAGGCCATACCACCCTCCCTGGATTCTGAAACTAGCGGACAAACCAGTCACTGCCCATAACCCAGGTCAAACACCACCCCCGCTCGGTAAACTCAGTACTGCGCTCCCCCCTCCGTAGTGCTTTAACCCATTAGCGATCACGGGCTCACTTATCAGTAAAGAGCCTCAGACAGGCGTGTGGCGGGGGGGGGGGGGGGCTTGAGGGGCTTCAGCCCCCCCCCCCCCGAAAATTCTCATGGTGGTTCGCGAAAAGGCCTTACTGGTGCATTATTTAAACTGTCATGTTTATTCATATCATGATCTGATCACCATACTCAATATATCCCATATGCATGGGGGTATTGGGGTAACGATACAAAAGGTTTGCTAGGGTAGACCCTCTTTCACTCAGACTCAGCCCCTCCCCCCAAAACTCAGCCCCCCCCCCCGAAACCCCCCCTGAAAAAAAATCAGCCCCCCCAAACGAAATCCTGGCTACGGGCCTGGCAAGCTATTTAACCTCAGCAGACTGAAAGCCAAAACCAAGGTCACAACATCTGTTATACGGACCAAGAAATCATGGCATACAGTCTCTACGCTCATCAGATGGAACCAAACTCCTGAAGGACCGAAAATCAATTGCACTATGTTGGAAAGAACACTACCAAAGCCTCCTGAACCGCAGCTCCAATATGGCCGAAGAGGTCCTCTCACAAATCCCACAACAAACCAGGGATGAGCTTGCAGCACTGCCTAGTTTGAAAGAAGTCAGTAATGCCATCAGCCAAAATAACAAAGCCTGCGGACCTAATGGGATCCCTGCTGAAATCTTTAGAGGGGGGACCTGAGCTGACACAACAACTCTACCAGCTCATAGAAAAAGTGTGGGTGACCAAGAACATCCCAGCAGATTTCAAGGATGCCACCATCATCACCCTCTTCAAAAAAGGGGGAAAAACGGACTGCGGAAACTATCGAGGTATCTCCCTTCTAACCTCCGCTGGGAAAATCCTTGCAAGAATCCTTGCAAACCGCCTTCCACCCCTCTCAGAAGACACTCTCCCAGAACGGCTTCTGCCCCTCCAGAGGAACAGTGGACATGATCTTCACTGCACGACAGCTCCAAGAAAAATGAAGGGAACAAAATCAACATCTACATGGCATTTGACACAGTGAATCGCAGGGCTCTCTGGACCATAATTGGGTGCCCTGACAAATTTGTGAACATCCTGCGGCTCCTCCACGATGACATGATGACAACCGTTTGGACAGCAATGGCTCCCAGTGACCCATTTAAGGTGGAATCAGGTGTCAAACAGGGATGTGTTATTGCGGAGTGGAAATCATCTATCGGACAGATGGCAAGCTATTTAACCTCAACAGACTGAAAGCCAAAACCAAGGTCACAACATGTTATAGAACTCAAATATGCTGATGACAATGTCATCTGTGCACATTCAGAAGAAGATCTTCAAGCCACTCTAAACACCTTCGCAGAAGCATACGAGAAGCTCGGCCTGTCACTGAACATCGAGAAAACTAAAGTGCTCTTCCAGCAGTTACCAGCCAATCTATCTCCAATGCCAGAAATACACCTTAGTGGTGTAACATTAGAAAATGTTGACCATTTCCGCTACCTTGGTAGCCACCTCTCCACAAAAATCAACATTGACACTGAAATACAACACCACCTGAGCTCTGCGAGTGCAGATTTTTTTCCGAATGAAGCAGTGTTTAAGGACCGGGACATCCGTAGGGATACCAAGGTGCTTGTTTATAACGCTATTGTCCTCCCAACCTTGCTATACGCCTGCGAGACGTAGACTATCTACAGACGTCACATGCAATTCCTGGAACGACTCCATCACCACTGCCTCCGGAAAATCCTGCAAATCTCTTGGGAAGACAAGCAGACAAATGTCAGCGTGCTGGAAGAAGCAAAGACTATCAACACTGAAGCAGCGATGGTCCTGGGAACTGGGAAGCCCTGGCCCTTGAGCACTCCAGCTGGAGGTCAGCTGTGACAAGCAGTGCTGTAGAATTTGAAGAGGCACGAATGGAGGGTGAAAGAGAGAAACGTGCCAAGAGGAAGGCGCATCAAGCCAACCCCGACTGAGACCGCCTTCTACCTGAAAACCAATGCCCTCACTGGGGGAGAACATGCAGATCACGAATAGGACTCCACAATCACCTACGGACCCACCGTCAGTATACCGATCTTGGAAGACAACCCTACTCGGACAACAAGGGATCACCTAAGAATAATAATTCTGGGATATAGGGCTGTATTGGTTGCTAGGAGACCAAGACCCGCCCACAACAGTGTAAGGGTTGAAGGAAGCAACCTTCTCAAGCCTCCTCTATATGATATTTGTCTGTTTTTTATGTCTCGTTTTATAACATGAAGAATATGGGCCCTTCCACACAGCCCTATATTCCAGAATATCAAGGCAGAACATTCCATAATATCTGCTTTGAACTGGGTTATCTGAATCCAAACTCAGATAATATGGGATTTCCTGTCTTGATATTCTCGTATATAGGGGTGTGTAGAAGGGCCCTATCTCTTATTTGGGTTGCTGTGATCTTTCTGGGCTGTATGGCCATGTTCCAGAAGCATTACCTCCTGACATTTCACCCGCATCTATGGCGGGTGAAACGTCATAGAAAAAAAGTTTGCAGGACATACTGCAGCACTTTTTGATAGTTTTTCAATTAATATCTCATTGAGTCTCAACCAACTGAACATAGTTTGTGGCAGCCACAAAAATGAAGTTTCTGGAGGATAATGAGTACTTTCAAAGGAAGTCCTGAACAATTAAACAGGAAACAACACTTTCAGAGCAGGAATATTTTTTTTTCAAATTTTGTTAGAATGTTATTAAGTTTCTAAAAGACAATTATTTTAACATGTCGTCCATGTTTAAAGGGCTCTCTTGCCATAGGGGAATTGACACTCTGCCCACTTTGTGAGTCAAAGCTGGGCCAAGTCTGACAAAAAAATCTTCAAGCCGAAATGTTTGCTGCTGCCTTCATGAGGACTGGACTGACACAGCAGCAACACAACCTTGCAATGGGCTATCAGACATGCACAGAGATGGGCTTTGGATCTCAAGCCTTATGAGCACTCCATACCCAAGTAATTTCTATAATTTTATTGTATTCCACAAAGCCATTTCTGACTTAGGGCAACACCATCATGCGGTTTTGGGAGATCTGTCTTTGCCTCCCCTCTGAGGCTGAGAAAGCATGACTTGCCTAAGGTCACCCAGTGGGATTTCACAGTTGAACTGGTTTGAACCCTGGTTTTCAGAGTCATAGTCCAACACCCAAATCACTAAACCACGCTGACTCTATACAAGTGTTGTATATTGCTTTTCTTCTGCTGTATGATTTTGAAGAAGGCAGTGACACTTCAAAGACTTGGGCTATGGGTTGACTGGTTAATAAAGGAATCAGTCTTCTGTGGATGTTGCATTCACCTAAGAAATGTCCCTGGCAGTCCCACTGGTGAAGTCTGTTCAGCAACAGCAGTCTTTTTGCACGAGACATTCTGTGACTGACTTACTCAGACAAATAGGTTCTTTAAAACCATGCCCAAATACCTGGCTTTTGGGGTGCTTCCTCAGTCATTATGGGTCGGGAGAGTACTCAAAAGCTGTGTTCCAGCCTCTGTCTTTCTCATTTATAACTAAAATAAAGTTAACTGAAGGAACACTCCAGCATTCCACATAAAATGGCAAGTCTTCATCCCACTGGTGGTCTTAGAAATGCCACGCACGAACCGTGTTGCTTGTAGTCAAGGCAGTCTGGGACCAATTTCACTTGACCTTCTTCTTTTGTTCTTTATAGAATAACCTTGGTGTTATATGCTATGGGGCACTAAGAAATAGTAAATTAATCATTGTTATATTCCCTTCAAAAAGAAAGAATCAAAATATAACTATTTTGTGTAGATTTTGTTTTTTGAATAGGATTTAACTGCTATTTCTAAACTATACAAAATCTTCAGGGAAATATGCTATCTAGATGTGAAATGAGAGCTGAAACATTGCTGCCCAGTAGGAAGAATGTAAAAGGACTTTTGAAAAGGCTCCCTATTCATGGCATTACCATAAGAACATTTCTCAATATTTTCTGCTAAGAAAAAATGGTAAGACGATAGACATAAGATTGAATGTTTGCAATAATAACATTAAACAAAAAGAAGTAGCAATATAGTACTTCAACTATGAGTGTGATGAATATAGTACTTGAACTATGAGATAGAAGGCTAAATCTTACGAAACATGCTACCTAAATCAAATATGGTAGTGTTTCAAGAAGCAGCCGTGTTAAGTCTCTTCCGGCATAAAAAGGAGAAATTTATAAATATGATTGATAAAATACTGCAGCTCTAATGTGGGAATATTGAGATGGTTCCTTCATGTTTCTGGACTTGGGAACAAGCATAACAATAAAATACCCTAGA